AAATCCCAACTAACAATTGTGGCAAGATTTCGCCAATGCAAGTGCCGAGTGCATCAGCCAAGTGCAAGTGCAACAAGTGTCGCCGGGCAAAAAGGGGGCGGGTGGGCGTGGGCTTTAGCTGATGAAACGCACGGCCGCATGCTCGAAATGCGGCGTCTTTGGGCCTATTTGACCTCAAAGGCAGCACAAAGGTCGTGCGGGTGTGTGTGTGTGTGTGTGTGTATACGTATGTGTGTGTGTTTGCTATCCTTTCAGTTCAATATTAGGCGGCTTTTTATAGAACGCGCCCACAAATTTTTATTAGCTTTGGCTCCTGTGCGAAACAAACAAAAAGAGGCAAAAAATGTTACAAATTTATGATATCCCATTGGCAGCTCGCCTGAAGGTCATTTGTATGTCAGCGCCATAAACAATGCCTTTTGATTTACTCAACGTTTGCCAAAATCCACAGATTGCGCCCACTTACCTAGGCCAACAAATGAATATTGAAATTAATATGTGTACAGCGCTTTATCTCATCGAATATATATTAAATGGATTTTGTCCTTCTGTTTGGAACATGTCAAAAAAAAAAAACAAATGATACAATTGCTGTTGTTATTTGGGCACAGGTGAAAGCACCTTCTGTTTGCTTTCACTTCAGTTTCCGATCCCCTTTTCTCCTCATCTTTTTTTTTTGAGTTGTCTTTAAGTCAATTATTAAGTTCTTACCCAACTCTCTCTCTTATCCTTTTATATGTCTTCCGTATCTTAACCTTAAGCCTTGAGTATGGGTTCTACCGGGTTAGTTTTTTCATTCAAATCCTTAGCATATGTTATAATAGGAAGATAAATATTTCTAGGAATTTTTTTGTAGGAATTATTTTTCAAAATCCTTAGCACATCTTTTATCTTTTTATTCAACTCTTCATACGTTTCTTTGTTATTCACATATTACCCAACTTTTTTTTCGCCTTTATTCATTCTCACATTGATCTTTAATTGCAGACAAATATTTTATGTGTCTTTTTTCAAGCAACTTTTAAGTTCGTATCTTAATTTTTCCAAATTCAATTATTTTCTTATCTCAATTTTAAAGATTTTTTCGATCTTTAAACATTTTTCTGTGCTTTAAGATCTTATCTATTTCTTGACCTTGCCGTGGAATTTATACCTTTTTCGATTTTTGGACGTATTCAAAACAAATGGAAAAAAAATATAAACTAAGGATAGATATGGACTTGCTTAAAAAGTTGTTTCGAATTGTTTTAAGAATTATAACATTAACTAGCAGAATCTAAAGTCTTAGTGAAAGATCACAAAGGAATTGTCCTTGAAATTTATAGTTTCCTAATTAAGAACTTCAATTCTTTAGAAAAGCACTAAATATCTTGATTAAACTAACCAAATTTATGATTAAAACGCTTTTGTTGGAATTGTTTTAAGAATTTTTGATAACTTAAAAGAGCTTACAAAGTTCTCACTTGCAGAAGTTTAAGTTTTAATGGAAGATAAGATTAGAATTGTCTTGAAACTTTCCGTTACCGAATTAACTTAATTTAAGTTCTCTTAAAAAGAGCTAAATATTTAACTTGAAGAAACAAAATTCATGAATCAAGCAATGTGAGCAATAAAATATAAGGGTCAAAAAATCGAATCGTACTTAATTTAAAAAAAACCAAACTCAAATCTGGAAAAATGTGCTTGCTTTAAGTAAAAACTCTATTCATTTATTCTTTAACTTTAACTCAGCCACGTTTTGATCTTTCCACTGTCTAGGATTTAGTTGCGTTTTAGGTGTTAGCTCTTAAATTCCAAGTACAAATCGCCTAACCCCTGCTATCGCTATCGGAGCTATAAAAACTCTGGAATTGTGATATTTCGCGTCGCTGCGATAACGACCGAACAATTGCGAAACGTTAATTTGTTTAGCCATCAATTTTGTCGCCGGGTCTTGGGCAGAAGAGAATTTCAAATTGAAAATAAATACCATAAAAATTTCAATTTCTTATCGGGGAGCGGCCGTAATTGCCCGGCAGCAGCTCCTCCAATCGTGGGTCCAATAGGAAAACGAAAAGAAAGAGAAATAGATTTCCCTGACCCACCCCAAAACTAATCGACTACCGGAATTTGCGTCTTGCAGAGCTCGTGCCCGCACGCTATGTGCTCGCCATACTCGGCTCCATTGGCATGGCCATTGTCTACGGCCTGAAGGTGAATCTGAGCGTGGCCATGGTGGCCATGGTCAACCACACGGCCATACATCTGATGCAGGAGGAGTCCGCCGGTCACCATGGCATTGCGAATGCCACGGCCAGCGTGAGCAATCCCGTCGAGCAGTGCTCGCCGCCAGGTGGCGCCACCAATGTTACGGCCAAGGTTGAGGTAGGTCACCAGCCGCCGCCGAATCACTTGCCAACCAATTGCAATGCCAATTGACATTCTCTTCACAGGACGGACCCTTCAGCTGGAGTGAACCCTTGCAGGGCACGCTGCTCAGCTGTTACTTCTGGGGCTATCTGGTCTCGCAGATACCATTGGCCCATGTGGCCGAGAACTTTTCGGCCAAGTGGGTCATGTTGTTCTCGGTGGCCATTAATGTGCTCTGCACCCTGCTGACTCCTGTCTTGACCGAAGCCCATTATGGCGGCTTGATTGTGATGCGTGTGCTGGAGGGCGTGGGCGGCGGCGCCTCGTTTCCGGCTATGCATGTCATGATCGCTTCCTGGGCACCGCCCACAGAGCGGATGGTCATGTCGACCATCATCTATGTGGGCACATCGGCTGGCACTGCACTCTCCATACTGCTGGCCGGCGTCTTGTCCGCCTCCTGGGGCTGGGAGTCGGTGTTCTATGTGATGGGCGCCCTGAGCTGCATCTGGATGGTGTTGTGGGTATTCTTGGTGCAGGACAATCCCAACAAGCAGCGCTTCATCAGCGCCGAGGAACGGCATATGATCACCAGCTCGCTGGGCACCGAAACGAAGGTCGAACATCATCCGAAGGTGCCGTGGGGCAAGGTGTTCACCTCGGTGCCATTCTGGGCTATACTCATTGCGCACACCTGCAACAACTTTGGCTGGTACATGTTCCTCATCGAGATTCCATTCTACATGAAGCAGGTGCTCAAGTTCAATGTGGCCAGCAATGCGGCACTCAGCGCTCTGCCCTATTTCCCGATGATCATATTCAGCATATTACTAGGCAAAATATTGGACACGCTGCAATCGAAGGGTAAGTTTTTCCTTGACTTTTCATATCCATATATCCATATATCTAATATCCATGTCCAAAATCATATCGACATTCATATCCACATTCATATCCACATTCATATCCATTTCCATATCCATATCCATATCCATATCCATATCCATATCCATATCCATATCCAAATCCATATCCATATCCATATCCATATCCATATCCATATCCATATCCATATCCATATCCATATCCATATCCATATCCATATCCATATCCATATCCATATCCATATCCATATCCATATCCATATCCATATCCATATCCATATCCATATCCATATCCATATCCATATCCATATCCATATCCATATCCATATCCATATCCATATCCATATCCATATCCATATCCATATCCATATCCATATCCATATCCATATCCATATCCATATCCATATCCATATCCATATCCATATCCATATCCATATCCATATCCATATCCATATCCATATCCATATCCACATTCATATCCACATTCATATCCACATTCATATCCATATCCATATCCATATCCCATATCCCATATCCCATATCCCATATCCCATATCCCATATCCCATATCCCATATCCCATATCCACATCCATATCCACATCCACATCCACATCCACATCCACATCCATATCCATATCCACATCCATATCCACATCCAAATCCACATCCATATCCATATCCCTTGGTCTGGTCTCTTCTAATCAGGAATCCATCTATTTTTTAGGCAAAATAAGCACAACTTGCGCTAGAAAGACGGCCACCTCGATTTGTACCATTATACCGGGCATATGTCTGCTGATCCTGTGCTATATCGGCTGCCGTCACTATGAGGCCGTCTCCATCATGTCTGTGGGCATTGTGGCGATGGGCGCCATGTTCTCTGGCTTCCTATCCAATCACATTGATATCGCACCCAACTTTGCTGGCACTTTGGTTGCGTTGACCAACACTGCTGCCACCTTGCCTGGCATTGTAGTGCCCCTTTTCGTTGGCTTTGTCACCCATGGAAATGTAGGTGTTACCTTATGTATTTGGAAATAGGTATCCTAATCTCTATTTGATATTGCAGCAAAATATTAGCGCCTGGCGCATCATCTTTGCCGTGACGATCGTTTTGTTCGCGCTGGAGTTCTTGGTCTTCGTCATATTCGGTTCGGGTGCCGAGCAATCGTGGAACAGATCCGGTGCCCAGAAGGAGGCCGAAGTCAAGGACGAGAAGACACCGCTTAAGGATGTTAATGCATCGATAAAGCCATAAAATTTGTAATCTCGCTAGATGGATTCCAGCCGCATATTGAATTTCATTTGCATAAATTTTGTGTAGTTGAAGCAGCGAACTGTCGCCCTGGACTGTAAATACTACAAATACCAATTATAGTTTTTAGTTTATCCTGTAATTACTAGATATACTCTACTCGTATCTGTGCGTCAAATGGACATCTATGCTTGCCCGCCTATCAAAATGTACTTAACAAACGACCAGAATTCAAAAGTTTATCCGCAAACAGAGCAAATAAAATGATATTGTAAAAAAGCTGGGATGGGTCTTTTTCTATACGATTGGTTCAAAATATTAGAAGGTTTTCAGATTTAATTCAAAGGTTGGTTTTCTTTAAAAAAATCTCAAGCGAACTGAGCAAGTCTTTTCGAAAACGAACTACTGTCAAAAATAATGAGGGAAAACATAAACACAACTAATTATTAAAAAAAAAAAAAAGAAAATAAACATTAATTTTTAGTTTATTGACGAGCCAACTATTTGCGAGTTTCTTCTTAGTGGATAGTTGGACACATGTTTTAAAGTAATTAAAAAAAAATTAAATAAAAAAAAATATAAACAAAAATCTTGAAATAGAATGTCCGATGCGCCCGCTAAGGAAAACCTATTGAAAAGTAAGTTGTATTCGAGAGCCATAAAGAAACATATCTGAAACGATAAATAGGATGTTTTCCGGCACGCTATGTATTCGCATTCCTGGCAAATATCGGCATGGCCATTGTCTATGGCCTGAAGGTGAATCTCAGCGTCACCATGGTGGCCATGCTCAATCACACGGCCCACGGAGGGGACAAGACAAATAAAACTGACTCGAAGCAGGAAGAGTGCAAGCCGCCGGATGGCATGTCTCAAGGTGGTTCCAATGAGGTATGGACTGATATAGATTTAACTCTCATATAGTTCTATATACTGTCTCCTTTCAGGACGGGCCGTTCACGTGGAGCGAGCCGCTGCAGGGCACCCTGTTGAGCTGCTATTTCTGGGGCTATATGGTCTCGCAGATACCCTTGGCCCGGATTGCCGAGTTGTTGTCGGCCAAATGGGTATTTTTCTTTTCGGTGGCTGCCAATATTATTTGCACGCTGCTCACGCCGATCTTGACCAAGCTGCATTACGGCGGACTGATTTGTATGCGCGTCATTGAGGGCATCGGCGGCGGCGCCTCGTTTCCGGCGATGCATATCATGATCGCCAGCTGGGCGCCGCAAGCTGAGCGCCTGCTGATCACCTCGCTCATCTATGTGGGCACATCGGCGGGCACGGCTGTATCGATAATGATGTCCGGAGTTTTGGCCGCTAAGCTAGGCTGGGAATCGGTGTTCTATGTGATGGGCGGACTGAGCTGCATTTGGATGATCTTGTGGATAATCTTGGTGCAGGATAATCCCAACAAGCAGAAACTAATGACCGCCAAGGAGCGTGATATGATAAATAGCTCATTGGGCACGGGCGGTGACAAAGGGGAGGCAAAAAAGATGCCCTGGTGCAAGATCTTCAAATCGTGTCCATTCTGGGCCCTACTCATTGCGCACACCTGCAGCAATGTCGGCTGGTACATGTTCCTCATCGAGATACCGTTCTATATGAAGCATGTGCTCAAGTTCAATGTATCCAAAAATGCAATCTACAGCGCCCTGCCCTATATACCCATGATGATATTCAGCGTTATTCTGAGCAAAATTTTGGATACACTACAAAATCGCGGTAAGTATGGGCTAGACTAGTTACAGATCTGACAAATCATAATATATGTTTCTATCTACTTTTTAGAGAAAATCAATAGAACAACTGCCCGAAAAATCGCGACGGCCTTCTGTTCCATTATACCAGCTGCCTGTCTGGTTGGTTTGTGTTTCATTGGATGTCTGCATTATGTGGCCGTGGGTATTATGTGTCTAGGTATTATCAGCATGGGCGCCATGTTTTGTGGCTTCCTATCCAATCACATGGACATATCCCCGAATTTTGCTGGCACTTTAATGGCTTTGACAAATACTGTTGCCACTTTGCCGGGCATCATTGTGCCCCAATTGGTTGGATTTATCACTGAAGGAAATGTGAGTGATATATCGAGAGAGTTCCAAAATAATTGTTTGATTATTGTCTTCTTCAATAGCAAACGATTGGAGCATGGCGTATAATCTTTATTGGCACGGTTGTTGCGCACCTAATAGAATTTATAGTCTTCACCCTATTTGGTAAGGGTGTACCGCAACCGTGGAATGATGGATAGTTCAAGATATCGCAGCTTTTAGCTTGTAAAAACCATATTTTAATCGCTTGCATGGGCTTTTTCGAGCCTTACTTCTTTACGTGTTGATTGTTGAAAAAGATAGTTTTAATATGGGTTATATTTATGGATAAGTATGTTAAGGAAATAAAAATGTAAATTGTATTATGTAAAAATCAAAACGGCATTTTAAAACTAAAATGCAATGTGCATTTTGAATTTGAGTTTAACGGCTACTTACGTCAAAAAAAGTTGATAACATAAGCATAACAGCGAGCTACTGTGGCCTAACAGTAGCTAGCTGTTGCGATTTACTAGTTCATTGTGATGCAAGAAATTAAACTTGAACGAAATGAACTATTGAACTTGAACGGAATGAACTATTTTATTGAACGAAAATTTAAATTCGATTAAAGCAACTGCTGGCCGTTCATTCAGACGTTATCGATAACATTTGACTTTTGTTCACGATAATAGCAATCAAATTAAATTAAATTACTTAGTTTACGCACAAAACTAAGCCAAAATGTAGATTAACTTTCCATTATGTTTGATTAAAACCATAGGCAGAAATAAAAGAAAAATAGAAAAACAAATAAATATTAATAATTTGTGGCTTTTGGTGCAGCCACAACTCTGGTGCCCGTCGCTCCAAGTAAAACTGCCGCCGGCTCCGCAAAATGTTGAAAATACGCAACATTTGCATGCTGCAAAGGCGCTGGAAGAGCGGCAAACGGCGCTGGAATGTGCTGCAGCATAAGAAGAACAACTGCGATCGCGCACTGGAAAGCTTTGACGATTTCTACGGCTCCGTCTATGGCGGACGATGGAAAAATATGCGTGCCGCTTTGCTAACGGAGCACAAATATGTTGCCATGGTGAACAATTTCGGTGACACAGAGCAAACATGCAGCATGCTGGAGCTGGACGGTGCCATAAACATCAAATCCCTTATACAGCTGGCACGGGAACGCGAAGAGGGCGGCGCAGAGCCCAGTCTGCAGCGCCAGAAAACGCGTGCTCATTACGAAATCGACGATAAACTCGGTGCGCTGCTGCGCAAGCAGCAGGAACGCGAGGTCGCGGCCATATATCCCAGTGCCGCAGAGGATGGACATGTGCCGCCACAGCAGCTCAACTATGAGAAGAACAACAACAGCAACAACAACGAGCAGGAGGAGCAGGCGGGAAGCAGGAGCAAGCAGGCGGAGTTCAAGCAAAGCTTGACCAGAGCTTTGGAGCAGGATGTTCAATTGGATGCGAGTCGTTTGGTGGATCCACAATTTGGCACAGGCGGCCTGTACGAGTATGTGCCCGCCAGCACCATCAAGGGCATGGAGGATTGGGTCGCCGAATCGGAACATTATAAATATTATCAAACTAGCACAGACTTTCCGCTGATTATTGAACCCGAGGCCAATTTCCAATATCCGGAACACTTGGCCATCTACACCTATGAGATGGGCAACTGTGCCGAGTTCAAGGCTCCGCGTCAGTGTCTAACCGGTGTCCTCTCACATTTTCTGATGGATGGCGCCTCGGTGTTGCCGCCGCTGTTCCTGCAAGTGCAGCCCGGCGAGCGGGTGCTCGATGCCTGTGCAGCGCCCGGGGGCAAATCGCTGCTGATGCTGCAAACCCTCCACCTGGATCAGCTGGTGTGCAACGATGTGCAGGAGTCGCGGCTAAACAAGCTGAGACGCGTCATGCAGGAGTACCTGTTCGACTACAAACAACGCTGGGCGGGCAAACGCCTGATCTTCAGCCAGAGCGATGCACGCAATCTGGATGAGTATGGCAGCTATGACAAGATACTGGTGGATGTGCCCTGCACCACGGACAGGCATGTGCTAATGCATCAGGACAACAACATCTTCAAGCCGACACGGATTAAGGAACGCCTCCGCATACCCGAACTGCAGGCGGGCATCTTGGCCAATTGCTTGCGCCTGCTCAAACCGGGCGGCAGTCTTGTCTATTCCACGTGCTCGCTGTCGCCGGTGCAAAACGATGGCGTCGTCCACATGGCGCTGCAAAAGGTCTTCACCGAGCATGGCATTACCGCTCGCATCCGGGATCTCAGCCAGCACACAGCACTCTTTAGCGACATCTACAGATTCGAGCAGCCCAAGGGCTTGAAATATGGCCAAATGGTTTTGCCCTATTTGCCCGCCAATTTTGGGCCAATGTATTTCAGTAAAATAACCCGAAACACTTGAAGCGTTCGGGCACAATATTAAACTTTTAGGTGATACCAAATTATATAATGTATATCATTAAAGGAAAAATTGAATATTTGTTACAAATACGAGTTTTCTCCTCAAAAGGGAAGGAACTATTTTGTGCAGAAGATGAGAAGGTATCACATAATTTTCTTTATCGGTATATATTATAGGAGAAGATACACAACGAGCTTGGTTTCCTAGCTCTTGCAACTTTCTATAATGATTAACGCGTTTAAAAAGGAGAATATCTTTCAAATCTCAAGGCTCTAGCTCATGAAGTTTCCCAGAGAGACGCGCTCACACAGACGGACATGGCTAGATCGAATCAGCTCTTTGAGGGATCGGAGAAGACTCTTTCTGCCTGCTAGACACAGACACCTGGTCAACGCCGGGTAATAGAAGCTTATACTAATTCATATATCATATATCTGTATTAATTCGACATTTACATAAAAAGTTTTGAGCCCGAGCAGCGTGAAATAATAAAAGAACTAAAATGTTCGCTCACATTTGTTTCTCAGTCTTCTTTTTCTTCTTGGGCTTAACGGGCAGTGGTCCAGGCATCTTAAAGATGGTGCTGCAAGCATTTTCATTATATATTTAATGGTTGTGACTGGCGGTTGTTGAAATTTCCACTTACTGGCATGTGGTGCAGATGGGACTATATTTACAGAATACGGACAGGCAGACGGAGCAAACGTAGCCGATGTCGATGAGCTCGCGATGGCAGAAACACGAGGCGCGATAGTCAACCTTTGGGGTCGGTGGGAGCACCAATTTGTGACGCATTTGGGGCGATGGCAAGAATACCCATAGCAAATACTGTAGCAGACCATCCAGCTGGGTTACCTTGAGGAACTGGCCATTCGTTATGTCACAGCCCTGCTGCAGCAGACTGAGTGTCTTGTCCAATGCGCAAGTGTCGATGACAATGCCCAGCTTCTGGGCCGTAAAGAACACGTTCATATAGGTCATATACTGGGAGGCGCACTCATTGCTGCCCGTGAGCACCAGAATGCGTGAGTGCATCTTAACGCCAGCGGCGACATTGCGTTGCAGCTGCAAGAGCACAAATAATTATTAAACAAAAGTAATTAAGAAAAATTAAGTTGGAGTTGTTAACATACGCGGGATATGTAGCAAAGGGCCATGGACATGCTGCCAGCCAGTAAACTCTCGCAGGATGCGCTCAGGCGTGGCGCATTCATTAGTATGCTGCCCAATTGTTGCTTCACGGTCTTCTCAACCAAGCTGAACGCCTCATATTGGCCATCAATCTGACGCAGCTCCACTTGCCGCCCAGGCAGGGGGTACAGAAAGTCGCTAGAAAGCCGCTATAATTATTTCACTTACTATTACTCCTGCATTACACTTACGTGGCATGATGTGAACAGGATATTACGGCCAATTTGTTTTGGGCCTTTTGCATAAGATGCGCATTGCCAAAGGCGATGACGGCCTCCAGAATTTGTGTCAGATTTTGTGGATTTTGGCGCACAATCTGCTGTGACGGATTCGTGTCCAGCACAATTGCCAACAGATCAATACTTGCCTCAGCTAAAAGTGTACAATATTAGATTAATTTAAATTAAGTTTAACTTTGATAAATACCTTCTTTATTTGCTGCTATCTCCGTTGCCTCCATTTTGCCGGCAAAATAAAGCGCTGTGTCAATGTTGCTATCAGTTTGCAAGGTTGCGCAAGAGTTCGCAATACAAGCTGCTTACAATATATGACGTCACAAACTCACAGAGTACTCAGAGCTGCGGATAAAAAACTTTTAATTGCACCAGTTATTAACAACAACATATTATCCTTCTTTTTTAATTTATGATATTTTATAAACTCCAAGTTGCTTTTATATTGAGAATGCGATTGGATATTTTCTAAATGTGACGTCATTTAATATCAATTGCGTGTATTGCAGATCGTTACCCCATGCATTATTCGTTTCGCTCGTGCCAGGGTTGCCACTGCTTCGAATTTGCTTCTGCCATTCAACTGGAAACGCGTGCATAAAAAACAGCTGTTCTTCTCAGCTCTAAAATTTTACTGGGCGTTTCACCAGCTTTTGTTGATAAAAAACGCATTAAATACGTAGCACATCCGGGCTTAAAAATAGAAAACATAACACAGCTATAAAATGCTCGTTCTAGTACTTGGTGACTTGCATATACCACACCGTTGCAGTAGTCTGCCGGCAAAGTTTAAAAAGCTGCTTGTGCCCGGTCGGATACATCATATATTGGCCACCGGAAACATCTGCACCAAGGAATCGTATGATTATCTCAAATCGCTGGCCAACGACGTGCACATAGTACGCGGCGATTTCGATGAGAATCTCAGCTATCCGGAGCAAAAGGTTGTGACAGTGGGACAGTTCCGGATTGGCCTGTGCCATGGTCACCAAGTGGTGCCGCGTGGTGATCCGGAGGCTTTGGCACTTATCCAACGCCAGCTGGATGTGGATATACTAATAACGGGGCATACGTACAAGTTTGAGGCGTACGAGCATGGCAATAAATTCTACATAAATCCGGGCTCGGCGACGGGCGCCTTCAATCCTCTGGACACAAATGTGGTGCCCTCATTTGTGCTGATGGATATACAGAGCACAACGGTGGTCACCTATGTGTACCAACTGATTGGCGACGAGGTCAAGGTGGAGCGCATCGAGTACAAGAAGATATAACCAAGTATTAGCCGCAATTCATTCCTCCTCACGCTTCTGCACGCACTGATCCGATCTGTCTTGATCTTGGCATAATTACGGAAAATTGAATATATATATATATATAAATAATGTATAAATTAAACACGTTTCCTTTTTTTATTTAATAAAAAAATGTTTAAATTTTATTTAAATAGAATATAAAAGAGTACTTGCTTTTATTCTGATCATCTCCGGATGCGCTTACATGCAGATGCGTGCAAAAGTTATTTTTAATTGAATGAAAAGTCTGCTTAAAATGTTGACAAAGTTTCGTGCATTATTTTCATTAATTTTATATATATTAATACAAATTGGATTCTCGTTCGGGTCACGTTGCATTGCTTCTTGCATTATCAAATAAATATATATGTATATATGTTTTGCTCTTGTTTTTTGTTTTCATGCAAAAATGATGTGAATACTTTTTCCCCAAGCGCACGCAGCAGAAATTTGGCAACCATTTTCTAAATTCTCGTACATTACAAAAATGATAAATACACATAAACACGAAAACTCTGCGCTTAAAATTAGATTATTTTAGCTTTGCTGCAACCAGTTCAATTAGTTGAATGCGGTCTGCTTTTGGGGTGGATATTTTTTGTTATGTTTCTATTTTTTCTTTCAAAAGCAATCAACGACGCCCTTGGGATTCCCGATGAGACGCCGGCATTAACCCAGGCTGTCCAAGCACACAGTCTTGAGGGATTTGCCATTGATGAAGGTCTTGTATTGCTCCGGCAAAGCCAGTTCGACCTACAAAATGAATTATAAATATTTATTTAAAAATAATTCCAAATATGAGCTGCATTTCCTCCCACTTACATAGTCACCATTCTCCTCTGGCAGGAGCACATTCATCTCCGATGACTTGGAGCTGATGATTTCCACGCCCAACGAATCCTTGGACAAATACATTTGACAGCCCTCGCTCTTGTCAATGGAAATAGTTGGCACCGAGCCCAACACCTGCATCTGAATGTTCTGGCAGTTGACAAACTCAATGGAGGACAAAACCGAATCGAACAGCAGCGAACATTTTTTACACGAATCCATCACAATGTTGTTCACCTTGCCCCTGACGGTGAGAGTGGAGCCCTCGCAGCGGTACATATACACCACATTGCTCAGCTCGGCATTCTCCACACGCAAGCCCGTATTGTTCTTCTGATACTCAATTAGCCACTTTTTGCCATCTAGCGTAAAGACGGGCTCCTTGGCGGGCGCATTGGCACGACCACCTGTGCTTCCGCTGCTGCCGGCGGGTGTCTTGAAGGGCGCGGGGCCAGTGCGCAACGATGGATTCTTGTGGGTTTGCATGTCGCCGGTTACCTTCTTCAAATCTGTAAGCACAAGGAGGTTAATTTTGGCTTTTTAAAGGGATCATCAATTGTTGGGCCTACTCTTGGTAATGTCGGCGCCCTGATTGATTTGCGCAAAGAGCGCGCTGCGCTCATCGGCTGAGCTGTCCAGCTTCAGAGCACTCAGATCTAGTGGCGGTGGTGGTGGTGGCATACCGCCAGGTGGTGGCGGTGGTGGAGCTTTACCGGCTGGTGCCGCGCCCTTGCCAGACCAAACAAGGCCCGTGGTATGATACTGCTTAATGTATGCCTGTAGTTCGGTTAGCGTTTGGATCCAGGCGCGTGCCCATTCCACGTGCTTGGAGTCCTTCTCCTTCCACTCCTTGAGCACACGATTCGTATAGAACTGGCCCGCATCGTTCATCTCCTTGACGTGCGGTCCGGGTGTCGGCGATACACACACCCAGCCCAGGGCGGGTATACTTTCACTGATGGCCGACAAATGATTGAAGAAAGCGGACGAGCGATGCTTCTCACGGAAATCCTGAATGGCGCTGATTTGCGTCGATGTTGGCTGCAACAGTTCCACTTGCTTGGGCTGAGCCGGCTGCGCGATCTGCGTGGCCAGCGTCACGTAACGCAATTGGGCGCTAAAAAATTCAAGACGTGAATAACGACACGTGGAAATGGAAGCAGTTGCTACTTACTCGAAGGCTGCCTTGACGAACTGGGCATGCTGGGCCACATCGCCGCCAATTTTGGCCGACAGCGCCAGATACTGGCTCAGCGGCCCGGCCATAATATCCTCAAAGCCGGCGACACTCATTCTATTGCTGCTGGGCGCTGATGCAGTTGCAACTGATGCTGTTTGGCTTGGTAAAGGTGGTGTGGGTGGTGCGGGTGGTGCGGGCTCTGGCTCTGACTTTGTGTATGCCTCAGCTGGCTGCGGCGCTATAAGCGTATGCTCCAGGCGATCTACTAGCGTTTCCAGGCGTTCACAAATCCTTTCCAAATGCTCAACGGCAGCCGTGGGCTTTGATTCCGACTGGTTAATATCTGTGAAGGCAGCCAAAAATCAATTTTAGTTCACATCTGGCATAGGCAATTTGTGCTTTTGCTTCAGTTCAAAATATGTGCGTAAAAAAATTTAAGCGTAAAACAATATGTATGTATATATTTATATATACAGCACATTTAATAGAGATGCGAAATAAAAAATGCACACCCAGTAAAAAAAATCTATAAAAAAAAAACTAAATAAATTGTTGTAATTGATGTCATCGCAGGGTATGCAAAAAAAAATGCATGAATCACTGGAAACGACTTTAAAGATTGCGAAACGACACAAAAAAAAAGCTGATGTTGTTGATGCTGATGATGATGAGAAGAAATCTCGGCGTGACTAAAACATTAAAAAATATTTATTTAAGTTGTGCATGTTTTATGTACAAATAAAAGTGAGATAAAATATATAGCTATATACATTTATTTCTCAAATCCAAACAAACTGATGGCCTGCACAATAAACAAGGGAACGCCAGCTTAGATTTGAATATCATTTCATTTATAGCTGTAATATATTTTGAATACCAAACAGTTCCCAAGCATTTGAAATATGCATTTATCAAATGGTTTCTTGTTTAAAAAAAAATAAAAAAATAGAGTGCTTTGATATATTTTATCATAGGAAAAGGATTTATATAGATAAGCTAGCATTAGAATAATTGATTGAGTGAATTTCTGAGGAATTCTTAGTGAAAGGCTTTCGAAATACATCCAAATTTAATGTTATTTAGTTAAACTTGTGTTTAAAGAAGTGAACTAATAATTTCTTGGGAATTCGAAGAGATAAGCTCTTTGGAATAGAGAAAAATGATCGATTAGATGGAAAAAAAAACGTAAGAACATTTTGAAAGTGTGAATTTCTTGGGAATTCTTTCTTAGTGAAAGGCTTTCGAAATATACTCAAGAATTATGTTATTTAGTAAAACTAGTTATTTAAGAAGTGAAAAAATTAATTTCATAGGAATTCGAAGAGGAATTCGGCTCTTTTGGAATAGAGAAAAGTTATCGAATGTATGGAAAAAAAATCTAAGAACATTTTGAAAGAGTGAATTTCTTAGCAATTCGAAGTTAAATGTTAAATCTTACAAAAAACAATATACAACAAATATGTTTATACGAATATGATGGATGACGGCTCTTCAAAACAAATTCGAAATATTCGATTCGATAGGTAAAACAAAACTTGTTATCGATAAAACGCGGCATGCAATGCGAACGAGAGTTGACCAAAGACAGGACAAATTCGGTTTTGGATTGTGTGTTCATTCATACCACGCACGGCCACGCTGTGCTCCACGGCGGCGTGTGCGGCGCGCAGCAGCTCCGTGTAGAGACGCTGACGTTTCAGCTCCAGCTCATCGCGTCCGACGGGCGTGACGGGTGGCTCGATGCAGCCGCTGCATGCGTACACAACAAACAACAACGAGAGACAACAACAATAGAGAGAGAGAGAGAAGAGAGAGTTTTTAAACTGGTTGGGAATTTTTTTTTCGGGTTTTAACGAAAGAGAACGCGTACATCTCATTGAGTCGCTCGTCGTCAAACCAGGCGGGCAGTCCGTGGGCCAGAGCCAGGGTTCCGGCCGGCAGCTGTTCACCCTCAATGTACGGCGCGCACATGCTCTCCCGCTTGGGCGGCGGCAGCGAGTCCGAGAAGACCTCATCGTCATCCGCCAGCGAGCTGTTGTTGTTATTGTGATTGGCCAGCAGCAGCAGCGGCTCAATGATCTCGGCCCGTGTGCTAATGTTCACCTTCTTCTTGATCGAATGATGCGTTGAATTGTGCCGCGAGAGGCAGCTCCTTGTGGGCGGCGCATGGGCTGCCGGCGGCAACGCCTCCTGCTGCTGCTGCGGTGCCGGCTCATCCTCCGTGGCGCTGGTCATCGATGCGGGCGCTGCTGTGGATGTGGATGAGTGCGTCGAACGTAGCGTTGGCGAGACGTCTGCTGCGTCGATGGCTTCTATGTCAAGGGCTGTGAAGATGCGACACAGGGTCAGGGAACTGAATCGAATGCTGATGTAAAAATGTTTCATTTCTCTTAAGACCTTGCGGGGTGTTAGAAGACCCTTTAAACCTCTCTCTGTCTAGTTTGTATACCCATCTGTCATATTATATTATACATTCTAATGTAAGTATACTTAAGATATATATTAAATCTAGAATTTACGTGGCATGTAGATAGTAGAGCTCAGCTATAATATGTTTTCTTTATATTAAAATATCTTTGCTGTGATATCCGAGTGCTCTTGGGACTGGATTGGACCTAGCAATGGATACATTAGATTCCTATTCCTTCTTCTTGCAATTATAAGTATTTAAGCTAAATATAATGCTTAACAAGATAATAAATAGAACTATATATTCTTATACTGCAAGGGTTCTAAGAAACTAGATTACAAGCTTATCATAAACTTAGATTCAGATGACAATTTCAACTATTCGACTATATTCCCTGATAAACAAATAGAAAACATATTTGAAAGCAGCTTGGTGACTTTAACTGAAGGTTAAACTAGGTCGTGCTCTGTGGCTACTAAGGCGAAATAATAAAAGTGTTAAAGGAGGCGCAGATCCTGGGCACTTGGCAAACGCTGTTGCATGGGGTTTTGGGAGCCAAGCTCCAGGGACCTGTGCCTGGAGTGCAAAGACACACAGCGCAGCGTGTGGTAGAGCTCCCAGGGGCAGAGGACTATAGTCGCAATTTCTAGTTGTGTATATTAAATACTAAGTGATATATGTTAAGTCATTTTTGTGAATACCAGTTGGGGGCTCAACATTAACAGCCTCTGCTGGCTCCGGTTCGGGTTCGGGTGCGGGTTCGGTTTTGTCTACTGGAGCTGGTTCTGGTTCAGGCTCTGGCACTGAGACATTGCCATTCGGTTTGAGCTCCTCCTCAATCGCTGGTTCGTTTGTTTCAGCTTCGATTTTACTCTGATTGTCCTTGTCCTTGTCCTTTTTGGCTGCTTTTGGATTTGCACGACAACATGAGAACATTTTTGCGGCTCGCGTTTGGTTGGTTCTTGGCGTACTTAAAGTAGTAGATGAACGATTTAGAGGTGGGTATCACATTAAGATTATGCAATTTCCGTGTCTTTACTCTTTTAACTCATTCTCGTTTACGACAGCAACAACAGGGAAAACAACGTCAAGCAGCCATACAAGAATTGGTTAGGCGTATGACGAAAGCCGCAAACGGAAAAGAAAGTTGCTGTAAAAAACCACTCCTTAAGCTTCCTCTCCCTATATCATATAACGTAAATCGTTTCACACGCACTTGAACGCAATTTTTTTTTTTTCGCTTTTGACATAAATAAATTAGCAAATTAAAGCACTTTTCAATGTTTAATGCAAACGGCCTGGGCAGGGCGCTATAGGCCACGGCTAGCACTCAACTGGGTCACACACACACGCACGCACACAGACATACACGCACAAAGGTCCACAGCTGCTGCTGTACGGAACACACCCTAAAATAAGGGCAGCACACGCGCACGCACAGGACTCGGAATCAGTGAACGGCAGCACTTCGGTTAACAGCGCAATGTTAATGTAAAGGTCATATTAACAGCCGTATAAGCGTAGCTTGCGAAAAGGGCACGCACAGGACGCGAACCAGTGGGCGGTGACAGCGGAACTTGTGATGGACACTTGTTTAACAGCACAAAATTTATCTTAAGGTCAGGTTAAGCAGCCTAATACTACTTTCCAGATTATTTTAGCAGCCGCTTGCCAGCACTCCTTCTCCAAATTTGGGCGTGCAACTGAATGTGCATTGAAAACAAGTTGCAATTTTAGATAAAAATTTTGCTTTGGGTACACAGGGTCAACAGCTGAAATAAAGCTGCTGCGGAGAAAGCTTCACGGTGGTCATGGCAACAACAAAAATAGAGTTTGCGCGTCAACAGAGATAAAGAAAAGAGAGAGAGCGAAAGAGAGAGAGAGAGAGAGCGTGCGCAAAAGCGGTGCACACATTTGTTTTTGTAGCAACAATGGGTTTATTGCACCGGCCAAACGAGCGACTTGTTGTTATTGTTAAATGCATTAACTTACAAATAAATCTTGGCAATTAGTGTAAGAATCCGTTTTGTTGTGCTAACAACTTTCGCTCCGCTGCAAAGACGAGTTGCTGTAGGATGTGAATGTGTTGTGCCTGTTGTTCTTTTGCGGGCAAATGCATTCAAAACGTACACGCACACACATACACACACACACACGTACACGCAGCAGATTAAATGTCTGTGGCTGTTTAACCGTTATGCGCGCTGTTGATGCGCGTCTCATATAACAATTAATTAGAAATTAAACCTGCTGCGTGTCTATGGCCAAAGCAAAACAGCCATCAGCAAGAGGAATATATGTATGTGTTATCTATGTATGAGTGTTTTTTCTTAATATTTTTTTCTGCTGATAGTGCTTTTTGGCCATCTTTGATTTCACACGAATACATGCATACACACATTTGTTCACTCTTGCGTAAACTTTATAGCTGGGTGTGAGTCAGAGCAACAACAATAACAGTAAGGCGGCAAACAGCTGAGGAGTTCTAAAAAAAAAAAAACTATGCACTGTTAACTCTACTTTTTATGAACCGTAAATGCTGCACATTTGCTTTTGCGCATTGGCAGTAGTGCATATACGGTTTTATATGTACATAAATTTGCAAGTAAAATTAAATTCTACATGAAATCATGATTAAAAATATACCAAAACGCTCATACACACACACACACACACACACAATTGTACGTTACACATGTATGGGCGCGAGTGTTTAATTTAACAAACAAAAAATGATTCACATAAAAATAGCCTCAATATCCAAATAGCCTGCTAGCCGGAGACCACTGGCAACCCAGCTGTCACCTGTCCTCAACCACTTCACGCCCACACTCACACACACACACATATGCATATATATAAATATATATATATATACATACATATACGTGCCATTTTAATATTCCAGACAGCCTGGCCGCAGGAACTGTAGACCCACCCAACTTACAATGCAGCCGGCAATTTTACGCTGAGTTTGTCACTTCACAATTTTAGCAATTAAATGTATTTTACGCACATTTTTTGTATTAAGAAAAGCACATAGATAGATAGAGAAACACACACAGCCACATATTATAGTTCTTGTAATTTGCACTTACCACAAATTTGTAATAGTAGCGAAGAATTTGTTAATTACCAATTTACCGCTGCTTTAGAACAGTTGTGTGCGAAAAATCGACGACGAGTGACTAATTTTTCGCTCGTTCGTTTGTCTTACATATGTTTTTAACAGCAATACATTTAACATTTTCATGTAATGTTATTAACATCAAAGTAAAGTGTTGATAAAACTACAGCCGTTATTTCTTATCGGACTTTTTTAATACGAAGTTTGATTTTATTGATGTGGAATTAAGTAGAGTGAAATTATTTATAATAAAATTGGCGATTTCATGGGACTATTTTGAAAAGTTGGCTAATGTAGCTCTTTGCCAAGATAACGCTGTCTTTGACAGTTAATAAGATATATAACATGGTTATAACAGAACACCAATAGGGAGTGCCGATAACATATAAATGTTTTTGAACACTGACTTTACTATAATGTTTTGCGATCGTAATGTTATCGATAGGACTCCAAAATATATTTGGCGTTTTTTTACATTTTTTAAATCTAAAAGAAACTCTATTGACTTCATACTCTATTTATTGTATGCTTAGTGGTAGTAACATTTATGTGACTTGTAACGAATATGCAAGGAACTTCAACCATGCAGATAATCCATGAGGAAGGGCGTATCATCGGGCCCGTATGGTGTTAAAGGAACATCATAGGGCAAGGGAAAGGCAGGCACACTATCACGAGCATTGCCCAGAGGAAAAGTCTCCTCGCCAGTCTGCGAAAAGCGGAGGAGTTATTCAATATAAAGGCAAGACAACGCACGTTTATAAAGTATCTAACGAACCACAAATCTGGGCAGGAACAGGACGCCCGCCTCGTAGTTGGCGATGCGCAGACACGGCTGTATATTGGAATTTTTGTTAAAGGAGCCCCACGCAGCCTTCGATAGATTCGCCGAGGTCAGCACAAACCAATAGACGCACTGCTCCTCTAAATTGAAACGCGTATAGCTTTTGATATGCGGCATGGCCTGCGAGCGATGCCGATCCCCGGACTTCCACTGCTGCAGATGCGCCTTGAGCCAGGGCTGCTTATCGTTCGTGTTCTTGCCATAGGGCAGACAGCCGCCGCCGAGCATGCCGTCGTGACTGCGTGACACGTTGCCAAAACTGGGATAGATCATCTTGAAGGGCGGCAGCTGACGCAGCCTGCCCACAGGCGTTGAATCCTTGCGCAAATTGTTGACAAAATCCTGCTGTATCCAGGCCTGCACATTGGGGCCCAGGCTGCCAATGCTGGAGCTTTGACAGACAACTGGTATACGATCATCCACGGGCGCCGCATGCTTTGCGAGCACCGAGCCCAGACGGGCACAGCCCCAGGGATGACCACGCACAGCGCTCTCACGGTGACCACCTGGCACGGAGCCAATAAAGAATACGCTGTGGAAAGCAGACGGATCATATATTGATTGTCTCCATGAATTGTACTCACTTGACGGCACTGAAATCACTTTTGCGTATGCGCGCAATCCATGGCTGCAGCTGCGACACCTTGTACTCGACCAGATAAAGCATGAGGTCCTGCTTGAATCCCGTTGGACTTTCACCGGCAGCCGTGTCTGCGCCCTCGGGCAATGCGGGCAACAGTGGACTTATCCACAAGCCCTGCGTGCGATTGTGCCAATCGTCCTCGTACAAATTGGCCGTGGAGATGACAACACGCATCGAGCCATCCGCATAGCCAAGCAGCATCATTTTCGTGTGCGATGTGGCAAAAGGTGTCGGCATATTGACCTTAATGGCCGTCACCTGCGGCTTGAATTTGCCAATGCCCAGCAGCTCGGGAGATTCATCGCCGTACAGCACCAGCAGGGGTTTGTCGCTGAGAAGGAATTGAAGGGATTTAAATATAAGTGAGCTAGCTTTCCGCCAGATTGTATGGTTAAAGATTGCCACAATACCAGCCACAGCTTACAGTATGCCCGCAAAGTAATAATGTCCCAGCAGCCAGCCAATGTCTATCATAAAGTTTATTTGGACACTGGACTCAATCTCGCCCAGACTTTCATCGAGTATTTCCTGCAGTGTAACGCTCAGCGGCTCCTGATGCGTCGGCTTCGAGTCGGTGATGGCCGTGAGGAACATATTATAGGGCGCTGCACGCTCCAGCTTCCTGGCCATGCGCCCCTTCTCCACCACAACGGGAATGTAGTCGCGTATGTTGCGCTCGTTAAGCCTTTGTTTCTTAGCCAGATTCGAGCTGTCCTTGCTGCTCGCCTGGTCAGAGGCAACGCCTCGACTGGTGCTGGCCATGGCTGTAGCTGCTGGCGGCTCCTTTTTTGCTGGCTTCACAGTCGTAACCGCCGCCGGCTTGGGAGCAGCAGGCGCCGCCTTGGAGGCAGCTGCCGGCTTGGGTTTGGCATCCTTTGTGCCCAGCTGCGGGAATACTTTCTCCAAAAGCTTCAGCTGTATGTTGATTAGCTCGCTGGAATACTTGCCGGGTATGTCATACTCATTGCTGTCCGCCTTGAAACCCTTGGCATAAATGGCATCCACTAATTGAAATACAAAAAAAAGTATTAATAATGCAACATATTAAATGGGATTTGTTTTCTAACGTACAATGCGCATGTGAATACTCCCCGAAGTGTATGGGATTTTTGCGGTAACATTTCTCGCCGTACGGACACTCTTGCATGTTGCCTTATTAATTAATTTGATTTAACAAAAATGAACAAACGAAAGCGGGAGCTGCTGTTGCTGTTGTTGTCTAGTGCTATCGAAAGTTATCGAGAGTTATCGATTAATGCTTCACGCAAATAAAAAGGCGCCATTTAATTAAATTCAAAAAGCCACAACCCACAATTGATTAGGTTTGCTGCATTTGCATTCGAAATAAAGAATCTATATCGCTTTTTAAACTATTTCGCCGTGAGTCATAAATGTACTTCCGCTAAAATGTTAACTCCTACAAATTTCAACCGCACTTATAAATATTGATGATTTTAATTAGCAATCTAATATGTTCATGGATTTATTATTCATGGATTACTTACGATATTTGGCCACGGCAGTTACTGAAATAAGTGTCGCATTCCAAAGTAGAAGTCCAAGGATGGCAGATCGAAGCAGGAACCCGGAGTACAATATGTCTCATAAACATCGTGGCATAGCACTCATCTTCAATAACGAGCATTTCGAAGATCCACACCTGAAGCTACGCAAGGGCACGCATAAGGACAGCGAAAATCTTGGAAGAGCTCTCAAGCAATTGGGCTTTCAAGTGAAGGAATACACGGACCTTTGCAGCGAGCCGATTATGAAAATAATTAAGGAAGCCAGTGGTCGGGACCATTCCGATTGTGATTGTATTTTAATAGCCATCCTCTCACATGGTAAATTGAACTACATACACGCCAAGGACAAGGCATACCCAGTGGAGAGCATTTTGAGTCCATTCACGGCTGAGCGATGCCCCTCATTGGCGGGCAAACCGAAACTATTCATTATTCAAGCCTGTCAAGGCGTTTTGAGAGACCCCGGCTGCCACATCAATCGACCCGAAAGCTCGGAACGTGACAACGAATCTTTTATTAGCTATAGAATACCACTTCCTGCCGACTTTCTGATCGCCTCCTCCACGATTCCTGGTTACTGCTCCTGGCGCAATACTGTGGAGGGCAGCTGGTTTATACAGAGCTTGTGTAAAGAGCTTGATTCCTTTGGCAAGACACGGGATGTATTGACACAAATGACATTTGTTGCCCAGCGTGTTGCCGTCAACTATGAGTCTTTTGATGAATTTAACCCCAGACTGGATGGGAGAAAACAAATCAGCAGCACAATGTCGACGTTAACCCGCATACTGTTTTTTCGCGATAAAAACGATACGTCAAATGACGATACGTCAAATGACTATTTTAAAAATAAATAAAAATATTCGTTGATTTAATATATAAAATTTAAATTAATATGAGGAAATCAAGAAAAATTAATATTACGACAATGTACTATTTAATTTAATAAAAAAAAAAACTGTATATTTATAGAAATTTCTAACTATATATAAGGAAATAATAATTACTGCTGCGATTTAAGATTTGAAAATTGTCAGTAGACTTGTCACATCTCTAGCGATAAGCGGAAGACAGCTGCTGGTGCTGCCAGATTGAACGCAGTGAAATTTCTTGTCGATAATTATCGATATACACAACAAAAGAACTGCAGCAGAAGTACGTATATATTTAATTAGTTAGGTATTTAATATTTAATTGTGCATAAAAATGCATGTAATTTTAAGAAACATTTGAGTAATCAATTTGCCACGACCAGTTGGCAGCGCAACAGTGTTGCAAAATGCATGTATTGTAGATAATTCGTGTTGTACACACTTCGTGTCTGTCGTCGGTCGTTCGTCGTTGTCGTCGTCGTGTGTGCAGTTCATGATAAACAATTTAAAATAAATAACAAATTTCATAGACTTATGGTGCACTAAAGTAAACAAACTGGCCACAAAAGCGGACCACAAGTGTTTAATTGTACGCGTGAGTAGCTTTCAAACAGTTTTATGTGCATTTCCATTGCAAAAATAAGCACAGTAGCAGTGCAATTACGTTTGGCTGAAAGAAAATTTTTTTCTTCTCATACTACGCTACTTCTTATTCGCTGCGCGCTGCTGCCGAAAGAGTCTTGCCTGGCGTCGTTGTTGTTGTTGTTGGTGTTGTATATGCTGCTGCTGCTGCTGTTACTCTTGCTCTGCAGGGATTACGATTACAGTTTTATTCTCAGCCTCTCGCCAGTTTTATGCTGCAATATGTGTGTGTGTGTGTGTATGTGTTCGTGTGTATATATGTGCCTGTGTGTTTTTGTGCTGCGCGCGCCATTAATTGAACTAAAAAAAAGGAAAGAAAAATTGAAAACAATTATAAATACACACAATAAAATCAAATTTTTATTATGTTTTGAAAATACTTGAATGTCGCTTATCTCCGCACACAAATTTCTGACATTTCTTCTGCTCGTGCTTTGAACAAAAATCCACTTGAATGCTGCTGCTGCTACTGCTGCTTGGCATGCACAGGTGCGGTTTACCCAATGAGGGGGGTAGTCGCAAGCGTTTTGTGATTGGGAGCGCGCGCTGTATTTTGATATTATTATTGATAATATTTTAAATTAGTCACAATTAAAAACAAATATAGCGTTTGTTGTACCTTTGATGATTAATGGAATTAAAACGAACCTTCGACCGCTTATTACCTTTATGAGTCAGAGAGCTGGATACGCTCTTTCTATCGCTCTCTGTCTTTGTCAGACGGCTTGCTCTGCTCAAACAAACTGTTATCACTAGACACAACTAGAAAACGCTGCTTGTTATCAATTTCATCACACACCTTCTTCCATTTTAATTTGTTTTGCTTTTTACTATTTTCTATTTCCATACACAGTTGCATTCACACTGGGTGCGCATGTGTGCGCGTAGGTGTGTGTGTGTGTGTGTGTGTGTACGCTTATCTACGCCGCGCTGCTTTTGTTGCGCTTCTTTTGTTGCTCTTCTTGTTGTTGATATCAGCAGCGCGCGCGCAAACCTTTCAGCTAGCGTCAGAGGGGCAGAAGCGACAGCAGCAGCAATTTTGTGGGGCGGCTCACGCACATATTGAGAATTGCCTTCGTTACGCCGTTAGACGCCGCCTCTGCCGCGGCCAGCGTCAGCTTTGGCGTCGCTGCTTTCCTTTGTCGAAGGTAACTGAAGCGCAACCCAAGACGTGCACTCAATTCTACACACACACACGAACACATGTACACTTTGACTTGTTGTGGGTGTACTGATTTTTGCAGTGGTTTCTGCGTATTTTGCGGTTCGCTGTGTGCTCTTAGCTTTGGGCGATATGGCAACTACTTACATCTTTTTTGTTGTTGTTCTTGTTATGCTCATAGCTCATAGGTAGAGATGGGCGCGTGTTGACACGACACGAACACGAACATCGATTCGTAATTTTTGCGGCTGCTCAATATTTTATTTGCAAAACTAATGTATTTTTAAGTGTAGAGAGCTTTAAAATAAATTTTCTTTCATTTCTAAATTGTGTTCATGCGATTAAAATATTTTTTATTACATTTTATTCTAAATTTCTTAAATGTTCTATGTCCTTATCCTATATATTATAGCACATACACTTCGTGTTGAGTCGAGCTGGTTCGTTTCACGAAAGAAAGCGCCAAGTCTATTCATAGGTAGCTCGAGAGTTGCCCAAGTGAGCATAGCGACAATATGGGGAAATATGAGGTTCCTGCAAGTCGAAACTTGCCGCATCATCGTAATGCAAAATGCTTTAAAGCTGCCTCAAATGCTAGACTAGACGATTCGCCAAGCTGATAACATTTCAATTTAGACACTATTGGAAAATCAGTGGGCTGATTACTGAACGTGACGTTCAGTAAATACTTTATTTAGCAATATATGCCATAGAAGGGTCTACTACCGTAAAGCTTTGTCAGTTTAGTTGCCTTTTTTGTTTGCCAAAGACAACACTTTGTTTTGGATCGCAGAGACTTAAATACTCTACTAAACGCTCAGGAAAATTTGTTTTTATATCATTTAAGAAAATTAATCCGTGATTTTTTTTAATCTGATTGTTAATGGGTATAAACTATACATTTTTTAACACTTTTTATCATTATAAATATGATTGGTTTTTATCCAACTCACTATTCCTACAATTATCCAGGATCGGATAGTTTTCTCCTTCCAGAAAATTTTTTTGTGATCGATTTCTTGGAAAAACTAAAAATACCCTAAACTAGGCTATAGCTAGGGTATTCCCAGCATCGTGCTTAGGTCTCTTTGACATGATACAAATCTCATGTACCCAAGCACTTAATAAAGTTGTTTGCCAGTCTATAACATAATAATCATAGTAATAATAATAAAAAAAAAAAAGAGACAAAATCCGATTGCGACAGGGTCTAAAAATAAGTTCAAATGCGTGTTGACAATTTTTTGCCGTCTATTTTTTTTTTTTCTGCCTGCCTTTTGAGCATTTGTTTTGTTTTCAATTCTTTTTTTATTACCATTGCGCGGATTATCGCGACAAGAAGATCAAGAGCAGCGCAAATAGCAACAATAACAAAAATATTTAAATATTTTTTTTTATATGGGGAACAAGAGGGACGCCCACTTGCGAAAAGAAATCTAAGTTGAAAATAAACTGAAAAAGCGTAAATCACGCTTTCGATAGATTTAAAAATAGTTGTGCAGCGATAAGGGCCACGCCCCCAAAAGCCATAAAGACGTGAAGCAACGGGATTACGACGACTGCGACTGCGACTGCGACTGCGACTCAGGGCTAAAGCAAGACATGCAAATTGTTTGTTGGATTTGTTGTGGGGCATGTTGCACAAAACTGCGCATAAATCCAATTAATAACATAATTATTTAGGCGCAAAAGCCCAGAGAGCGAAAAGCCATTTGAAGCTCATTTACAAAATGCCGCCTAAAAGACGTTAGGTTTGCAACTTGCAACGTGCAACGTGCAACGTGCAACAACCTGATGCGTAGGCCGTGTGTGTGCCGCCTTACAGCTGGTTAGCTAGTTTATAATCATGCCACATGCAGCATGCAACAACAACCACTCCATATGCAAATTATTTTTATTTTAATTTGCCCATTTTCGTTTTTTTTTTTTATGCTGTTGTAGTTTGGCCCCCTCCGAAATTGAAATATTGACTTTGCGCACTTAATTTTCGCCAGCCTGGCAAATTGTGAATTGCCCAATCAAGCCAAGAGCGAGAGTGTGTGTGTGTGTGTGTGTGTGTGTGTGTCGTACTTCATATATAAACAATATGCAACATAAATTAGAATAACCGTTGAGCCGTAAAAACAAAAAGGAACGTTGAGCATATGTAGGCTTTCAGACTCGAGTTGTTGGCGGCGTGGGCGTGGATGATTTGAGGTACTCGCGGCAGTTTGTTTCAAATATAAATCGAAGGCGTCAAGCGTTCGAGACGTGAGGCTAAGCAACAGCTCACTTTGCATAGTTAAGGTACTTACAGTATGCCTAAAATGATTTATGTTCTTTGCCACATGATTTATGGCCCAGCAATACAAAAGCCTGGCAAAAATTTGATATAGATCTAAGTCTAAGTCTAGAAGTTTTATAGTTATATATTTGAGTATAATTCCTGGACAATATTGATGGAGTGTCAGGCTTCGCTTCTCAAATAAATTCATGCAGCAGTCATAAGGTTAAATTTAACATGATAATAAATTGTTGCACATTCTTTTATAATGTTTATTAAGTGCCTTGCAAACTTTAACGAGCTAAATCTGCTAATGTGGACATATTATATTGCAATCTATTCTTATTCTATTGAAAACTAGATAATAATAATTGCAAATAAATAATAAGAAGGCCAAATGGGTATAAAGCTGGTTGTACAGTCTGTCCTGAGGATAAACTTTTCATGAGTGTGAGTTAAGATGTGTAAGATGAGCATATTTACCGGATTAAAAAGACAGGCGCTAATGGGTTTAAAGCAGGTTGTACAGGCTACCATGCGGATAAATTTACCATGAGAATAAATTGAGATGCATTATTGCAGACTAAGAAGTGCAATAACATCTACAGGCAGAGTCAGTTAACATGAAGATGAAAAAATGTAATCGATCTCTCTACCTTTTGGTAAACTGGGAGGTAAATTTACAATTAACATGGCAAGAAAAACCTAAGGTGGCATACACAATTAAGTTAAAATGCCCTAAATTAAACTTGTAGTATGCCTGTTCGAAGTGTCTTTTCGATTATATCAATTCCAGTTAATAGCCAGATCAATCTGTAATTCCAACGCCCACCTAGAGCACAGCTACTTAGTAAACAGACTGCAGTTTTTACCAGCTGCTGTGCCCCCAACCACAGGTCCCATTCCTTGATTTTGTTTTTTTTTTTTCCATTGCGAACATCAGTCGCAGTCAATGAGCCAAATTGAAGTAAATGGCAGCATTAAAGAGACGAAACTGCGTCGGGGAAAACTTATGAAAACGCAACTTTAAACTGTAATAAAGTGGGAAATTACAGCGCATAAATCTCTGTCGCCGAACTGTCAAGAGTGCTGTTGCGAGTCGCATCGAAACGAAAGTCGAGAGTCGGCGGGGTTTGGAGAAATTGAAGCCAACCAACACCCACACGCCGCGAACACGGTGAATGAGTTGAGTTTACAGTTTGGCAGCTACTGTTGTTGCACATGCAAGCGGGGCGACGTTTGCATATTAAACGCAGGCGCAACGCAACTTGGGGCATGCAACAGCAGCAGCAGCAACAGCAGCAGCAGCAGCGCCACACAAGTGGACGCAGCAATGTTTTCGGAGTCTACAACTCGTATCGTATTATGTATTTATTGTCTTGTTGTGCGTGTGTGTGTTCGTGTTGCTTGTTTTTATTATTGTGGTCGGACGCGCCTGCTCAGGCATTCAGATCGCGCCACACACACGACTCTTGACGACGCTTGGCGCTTCATTGTCCATATAAAACTAATAATTATTGCATTTAAAATCTAATAAATAAATGCATTGACAGTGCGGAGTTGTGGATTTTCAGCAACATGCGGCGCGGGGTGTGTGGAAGACGCCGCTAAATAGCCGCTCCTATTTTAATGGCGCTGTGCGCCAGGGTTGGATAACGCTTTTATATGCAAAAAATAAACGGCAATTTTGTAGCCGAAATCATTCGTTTATACTTAAGAAACCATTCAATTTAAAATACTCGACTAACTTGTTTGAATGTTATTTTTATTTCCTGTAGTTCAGTCTTTATTTTGCTCTCAAATTTTACTAAGAACTAGTTCAGTTAAGCACTAATTTTTCATTTCACAAAAGCTTTTGTTTCTTATTTAAAAATAGTTAAAACTACGGTTCATTTTAACGTTCGCTTTAATTAAAAGTTAACAGGCAATTGCTTACGCTTACAAGTTTTGTTTGGAACTAGTTCAATTTAGCGTTCATTTACGTCTTATTAAATAAAACGTTCCTTTCCTTACATAAGCTCGCAAGAGATTGAATATGCTCTTGAGCCTGCTTATTTATAACTAATTTAATTTGAAGACTAACGAAAAGTTGTTTTAAGTTTCAGTTCTATTGAGCGATCTTATGAAGTACACGTTCATAAAGGAATATTTATGATTGTGTTTAGTAAAAGTTTTAGTTCAATTGAGAGTTCTTGTGAAGCACAAGTTCATAAATCCTTATTTAAGTCTATGTCATGACTCTTACTTGACTTCGCTGCGGAAGAACTGAGAATAATAAAACGTTTCTTTGCCTGCAAAGCTCACAAGAACTAGTTCTACAGCCCTGGCGCTTGGTGGGAGGGGGAGTAAAGGGGCTAGAACGCACAATTCGTGTAATGATCATCATCAAAGTGCACAACTTGGACAATTCCTTGGCCGCTGTTGTTGTTGTTGTTGTGTTTAGTGACAACGTTTGCAGCCGCTTTTGACCATAATTGTTGTACTTGTCATTGGTTCTGTCGCGTTGCCAACTTCAACGCCAAGCGCAAACGCACCGACAGCGCAGACATTGTTGTTGTTGCTGTTGTTGTTGCTGCTGTTTATGTGTGTGTTAAATACATGTAATTAGCCATGTTTGTGCCATTTAATCCGTTCGGACTCCATGTCCTCTCTCCACTCTCTGGCGACGCTTTTCTAAGAATTCTTTGCGTTCTGTTTTGGCGCACGCATTAGGCGCCACAAAGCGCGGCCACGTTTAACCCCCAAGCAGAAGCTGAAGCTGAAGCAGCCGCAGCAGGAGGAGGAGGAGCAGCAGCAGCAGCAGCAGCATTTGCCGAGTGCCTGTGCCTCGCCTCGACTGCAGTTGCGCATACTCCACATATTTATGGGCTATTTAGGCGAGCGCGCGCATCGTGTGGATGCTGCAAGCGGTGTGCGGGTGCGTGGTGGCATGCAACAAGCCAACTGGACTGGGCACAGTAAAAGCTGCCTTTAACGAACAGCTACTGTTTGGAAATTTTGTGTTGTTTCCAGAAATTATGTTCGATTTAAAGAGGTGTTTTCTTTATAATATTACCAAGACAAACCGCAAAGCTTTTTTTATAATTTTAATCGAAAAGTAAGAAGTTTCGGTATGTTCGTCAATAGAGCTTTCACTGTAGATGATGTGTGGTGGTCGCTGGTTACCGCGTCAGTCATTGGCATTGATTGGCAGCTGAGCACGCAACAATTGTTGCATGGCGCTGGCGCTGACGCTGGCGACGCCTCTGGCAGCAGCAGCAGCAGCCGCAACTGCAGCAGCCGCTTAGCGCAAGTTCACTTTTGGCACATGTTTTTGCGTGTACATTTTGTAGTTAGCAGGAGCAAGTGCGCACTAAACACAACACGAACCTACCGCAAAGCAGTTGGCAACGCTGTCCATGGGCGTGGGCGTAGGGTTGATGTGCTTAAGTTTTTTTTTTTCCTGTGCGCCGTTGACAGCTCAATTACTTTAGCAGGGCGCAGGGTTGCGTGTGGTTCGGCAATTAACGCGTCAATTATTTGTAATTAGAATTGACTTAATTTCTTGTGCTCGCCAAAGGATTTTACCCTCATTTTACACCAAGTCCATTTTTGGCACGTGCGCCAGCGCGAGTTAGATTGAGAGAGAGAGGGGATGAGAATGAGTGTGCGCATGTTGCATATGTGTATATTTTGCATGCATGAATAAATTTTTATTGTTGTTTATGTTTGCTGCTGCTGCTGTTTTTATTTAATTTTCCTTCATTTGTGGGGGTGCGCTTCATGACTATTTTCGGTTTTTACGACAACTGCGTTATGTTACTCAAGTTGGCTATAAATTCGCGTTTAGTAGTGTTAAACACGCAATAAAAAAAAACTAGGCAATATTAAAAGTAGCGCCCACACCGCACACAAGCAGCGCACACAACATATCTGGCAACGCCGAATTGCAATTTGACCATATAGTTTAGTTGGCAACGCGGCGTGCAAGAATTTTGTTCGTTTGACTTAAGCGCTTTGTTTTGCGCCCCCTTTCAGCGCCCGCTTCTCCCATCGCTCCCGTGCACTTGTTGTGGCAGCATTTACAGTTTGATTGCAGCCCACACGTTTACGTTCACGTGCAGTACGCCTAGCCCGCGGACTCCCTCACATATGAAACGCTTTTGATTTGTTTAAAATAAAAATTGTGAGTATGTCTATGTATGTGTGTGTGAAATGCGTTTGGTTGCCGCTTTCCTGATTGTTTTTTTGTGGCTTTTTACACATACGGTGGCAGGCAACCACAATACATCACTCAGCAGTTGCTCAAAGCCAGGGCTGCACGCTCGCCAACTATCGTTACGTATTGGAAGGCAATGTAATTGTATCAATATTGCAATTAAATGTCTCCGAAATAATCGTATTGTATGGTGAAAATATCGATTGCAATGTGGAGTCTACGTTCTTAGCTTTGCGATAGTTGCTTTGCTCCTGTTGGCGCTCTCGCCCAGCCCTGATACTCACATGCTCGCGCTCACACACACTCACACACACTACACGTTCAATTTGTTCGGTCGCTCGCTCGCTTCGCATTCGTCGTCGATCGTTCGCTTCGTGCAGTTGTGTTTTGTTGCGTCTCGCGGGGTTTTTGGTTGCTTCGTTCTCATATTATTGAATGAATTTTTTATGCGAATATTACGCACAAGTATAAACAATAATAAGAATAATATTTAATCAAAATAACTTAGAAGCTCGTTGAACGAAAAATGTAACTCGTTGCTGCAGTCCGGTGTATATTTTTGTTGTAATTCAATTACGGCGCCTTTGTTGAGGGTCTCGCATAACATTTGGATGCTGATTTTTGATTTGTGCTGCTGCAGCGTGCGTGTGTGTGTGTGAGAGTGTGTGTATACATTTGTGCGTATGCCGTGCAGTATAAATAAATAAGAATAATATCTGCAATCTTTGCCATAAACGTCAACAAGCAGAGAAATAACAAACGCAGCACAAGTCGCCGCCGCAACCAACGAAGAACCGTGAAGAATAACAGCAACCGTCCCCCTCTCTCTCTCGTTCATCATGTGTACGTGTTTTGTTTCATTTTAATTGTATATACCCTGTACTTATTGAACAATTTTTATTTCATATTTTGTTGTTTTTACTAATGAATGTCATAGAAGAAGAAGCAGAATAATATGCAGTTTATTTTTGTCGATATCTAATATAATTTCCCTAAATCGATAAATGTCCTTTTATTTTGGGCATATTTAGGTGATTTGTAGAGCTGGAATTATCAAAATTTTTTATGAAATCTCTCTAATAGCATACACTATCCAGAATTTATATTAATTTCTTTGATAACACGGCTCATCCACTTTATATTTAAAAAAACAAAACACATTTTAATATTTATATTCCTGATTATTGGCCTCTCTTCTCACCTTTGCGCTGTAAAAATAGTTTAAAAATCGAACAGTATAAAAATTAAACAAAAATAGTAATATTTCCATGTATTGGTATAAAAGGAGTAAATAATGTATGTTATGGAATATCCTAGTCGGTTTCTGCCGACTAGAGTTCTTTTATTTTTATTTTATTTATTTATTTGTGGATAATTTAATTTCTCGATTTTCCCAACCAAATCAAACTTGGCTTGCCTTTTGGTCTTGTAATTTATCATCATTGGGCTGTTCGCTTGCATTATTTGTTTATTTTTAAACACATGTCCCAACACACGCACACACGCACACGCACGCACACATTCTCACACGCAGGTCCTCGTCTGCCTGTTTTTTTTTTTTTTTTTTTTTTTTTTGACATTTTCAATGGCAACGGAAGCGTTGCGATAAGTTTGACTTCTCTTCCACTCACACTCACACACTCTCCGTCTCTCTCCCTCTCGCTCTCGCTCTTTCGGTAGCTACTGCATTTCTTTCGCTCTACCTGGCGCTCTTTGATTTACGCTTTATTGTCATTGCCGCATTTATGATTGATTATTGATTGGAATTATATGATACGCATGCGCGAATGCGTGCCTGCCATACGAGAGCGATTCCCCCCTCATTGCCTCTCTGTTCCTTTGAGTTATGATGGGCTTTTCAGCGTTTCCCTGGAAGCAGAATCTGTTTGGCTACTTTGTTGCGCCAGTTCGGGGTGGAGTCTTCTCGCTTTAGATCAACTGTCACGCATTTTATCGATCAGACGGGGTTAATTTGTAATTGAAGTTTACGTTTATTGCTCTTTAATTGTAGTCTCGGTTACATTGCCAGACGGATGATTGGTTGGTTGGATGATCGGCTCTATAAAAATGTTGTAAAATTGTGCAGTAGGAAACTTTAAAGGAAGTCAATTGTTCTGTGTACAAAACCGTAATGGCTAATTAAGACGAGTTTCAGTTGTAAAAGAAGTTTTCTTATTAAATATTATTATTTAAGTTTAGAGGCAATATCGGTTAAATTTTATCTGTTGATAATATTAAATATTAAAACTAATAAAGTAAGCTTGTCCAGCTTGGAGAGACGTTTGTTCTTAACAGAAGTCGGTTAGAATATAAAATGTATAATTTTGTTCACTGTTTTTATACATTGAGCCCATTAAAAATGGGTAAACAGGCAGAAGGAATCATTTTTGGACCCATTAAGTGCATATATATATTCTTGATCAGCATCAATAGCCAAGACGATATCTGTCTGCGTCATCTATGAACCTTTTCAGAGCTGGAGACTTGACTTAGTTTCTCCTAGTCCCGCGCAGTGCGAGTTTGTTTTCGTTAATCGATAACATGTCCCGCTTTCAAGCAATCGATAAAAATCGATCGAATTCTTTTATTTTTGGGCAAATCTCTTTGGTTTTAATGGGCAGAGTCATCAAATAGTATACACAGATCTTTAACTTTATAGGGTGGGGCTCCCCCTAGCACGAGCTGCACTCCGTGTGAAGGTTCAGGGTGTAGAAGATCCAGGATATCCCCTAGTCGGGCACTCCCGACTAGATAACTTGTTATTTTGAATATGGTTTACTTTGGCAATTTGTTTTACGACAGCTCAAAATATTTAGTTTAGTACAAGTTAAAAGTTTATGGAATTAGAAATTGATTTGATTGAACTATTTTGAAATTTCTTTAGAATAATTAACATTTAATGCACAACTACAAAATATTTTTGGGGAACTACAAAACAGTATAATTTCTTAGAAATAATAATAAATATTTTCGTTTACAATACATTGCTTTATTACTTTTAACTCGTTTATTTAGATCTTTCTATAAATGGCTTAACAAATAATGCCTTGATTATTTGAATGGAAAATGTTCCCCTTTACTTTTTTTTTTTATTGGAAGATTACCAGCTGTGGCCAGCCAGGTGGGCAGTTCCTATGAAATGCCATAAACCAATATCATCTATGTCAATAAGTCGAAAGCCTCACCCCGCCCCACCTGCAGAACCGAACTGTACCGCAAAACAAAAAAACATGTTGATTAGAGGGGTGGGGAGGGGCATCAAGGGGGGGGGGGGTGTCTAGCATGGAAAATTTGAATGCTTACCCAACAATCAATTGAGCTCCAATTTGAACAAGGCTTTTGCCAGCTGGTCAAATATTGCGATAATTACAGCGAGCAATGTGGCAGGAGCGTGGAGCAGGGAGGGGGGGGGAGGGGGCTAGGCAGGTGACAGGGGGATACCCTGAGGCGTTGTCGCTGACTTTTTGGGGCGGCCGCAGAATGTGGCAGCAACCAAACAAATTGTCAACAGACAACAACAACAACAACAACAAAAAGAAACAGGCAACGCCCCGCGTAGGCTACAAAAAAATGCTGAAAATTAATTCACGCGGCGGCTAATTTGGCCAGAAATAAATTTGCAAAAGTGTGTGTGTGTGTGCGAGTGTGTGGCAGGCGTGTTAGGAGGTGTCCCCAAGTGTTGCACTTGTTGATTTATTGTCGACGTTTAATTGGTTTTGAAATTGGATTTCAAATTTGCCCCACTTCCCCCCTCAAAAGATACCAAATCGAAATTAATTGCTTCAACAAATTTTCTTTCAATTAGATTTTCTCACTTTACAATTGAAGCAAGACTCTGAATAAGATCGCTTTTTTTGCATAAGTTGTAATTTCTTTGAGAAATGTGGTTCACATTGAAATGTCATAATTGAAATTGAATTGTTGTCTTTGCCGTTACCGCAATGCGTAGCTGGGTCAAGAGGGGCGTGTGGGGTGGATGCCAGAAGGTGGGTCACTTTGGTGGTGACAAGCTGCCACATTTGCACATTTGTCTCCCGGTGTTATCTCTCTTATGTGCTAATTATGATGTACGTCGAGCTTGATCGTTAATGCACTCTGCTCAGCGGCACAGTGGGGCAAAAGATGCCATTAACTGAAAAAGATTTAAAGCATAGAGGCTGGGAACTGGAAGAGGAGAGTGAAAGAACATCTAGCTTAATCTATTTTACATTAATTAAATTTAAAAAATTTATATTTTAATAAATGAAAATTTTAGCTATAGAATACATACACTCAGAATATTGTTAATTATTATTAATATAAATATAATATAATTATTGGTATACCCCATCGATGGTATATACAACAAACTTAACTAGCTGAAAGGATTTTAGGTAGGCTTCGAACCATCACCCTCTCTTTCCTTTGATCAGCTAGCTTAGATTAAATCAATATTAGCATATCGATTGGTAGGATTGAACCGTCATTCTCTCTTTTCGTTGTTGCCTCAGTTGCCTTAGGGTAAATCAATAATACAAATCGATAAGTAAGATTTGAACCGTCATCCTCTCATTGTTCAGTTAACTTAACTAGCTGATTATTAGGTAAGGTTTGAACCCTCATCCTCTGTTTTCTTTGTTCAGTTGCCTTATACTAAATAATAATGCATATCGATTTTTAGGTAGGATTCGAACCATCATCCTCTCTTTTCAGTGTTGCCTCCGTTGCCTTAGGGTTAATCAGTAATACATACGTATCGAACAAACTTAACTAGTTGAATAGTTTTTAGACAGGATTCGAACTCTCATGCTCTTTTTTCACTATAGACTAAATCAATAATGCATATCGATAAGTAGGGTTTGAACCCTCATCCTCTCTTTAATTTGTTCAGTTGCTTTAGACTTAATCAATAATACATAATGGTATTGATCTACTTTACATTAGTTCTTATTACAACTATCATACTTCAGCTGATATGACTGGGATTCGAACCCTTGCCTTCCCTTATCTTAGATCAGTGTGTTAAGACTTGTGATTGCAAATCTGTTCAAACCTTGCCTTAAAAATAAAGTTGTATTTGAAACAGTTCTTAGAAAGTATAGGAACAGTAGAAAGTATCTTACGAAAAGTGAAAGGTATTTATTACCTGCTTTAAGCTATATAATATACAAATTAATTGTTATTTATTGTTCATACTTTTTTTTACTTTACGAAAAAGAATTGATTACCCTTAAATTTGGTTCAATTTTATACATACTATATTTCCAGTTATTGTCACATTCTTCGAATAGATTAAAACTAAATATATAATCGGGGACTTTACATTAGCTGGGCAATAAACACTTATAACCTTTATATTTTTTGGAGCATTACAATGAGTCAGCGACTTATTTCATTAGCGCTCTCGCGTCACACACTTGTCTTGAAGATGGCTATAAAGCTGGCATTTCTCAAGCATAAAATTAATTTGTTTTGTGCATGAGCAAAGCCGAGTGAGTCAGTGAGCTTTATAATAATCGACAGTTTTCAATAAATTATTAATAACTAAAATTGGCAAATGACTGATAAATGTATGACGATTAGGCTTAAGATATGCATAGAATTATTTGGATTATCCAAGGGTGTATCTTTAAAATTGACAGACTGTCTTTAATATAATGTAATTATATATATATATATAATATTATATTACTATATTAAAACCTTCAGAAATAAATATTGGTTATAAATCATGATTTGCATTGATGCATTAGATGCTTTTAATCTAAAATAGGGCTTTTTTAACCTTTTTTCCTTATAAATATCCTTTTGAAATTGTGATCTGGAAATATATTATTAAAAAAAGATGGAAATTAGTGATTTAAAATTTCTCTTAAATTAAAATCGTGCTTAAAAACTTGTTTGCGTTCAAATAAATATTTGTAGGTATTATTAGAATTTGTAACAGAAAATGTATGAATTAGGCAACACTTTTCAAAACTGTAAAAAATCTCAAATCATTTTTAAGTTTTGTTTAAGTATTCGCGAATTTAATCGATATCGAATTTGTTACCCTTTATTTAAACGATATCGATTGTATTTTCTTATAATTTGATGGCTATCGAATGCTTGTATTTATATCGATATCGAATTGATTCCCATTTAATTTGATTTTAATCGATATCGAATTTAATTTCTTACTTTTATGCAGTCGATATCGATTAAATTTCCTAATAATTTGATTGTTATCGATTGCTAAAGTCTCACCAATTTTAATGGGTCAAAAGACGAAAAATTTCGTGATTACAGCTTGCTGATCTACCCAATTTTCGAATTATTTGAATTTCATTCTCTTGCTTGGCACTGGGACACAATCTGAAATATTTTGTATATTTCCCTTTACTCTGTGATGTCAGCTGTGATATAAAACTGCATACATATTTATTTTTAAGTGTTGGCAAATGCCGCTTTTAAGTAGCTGCTGTTAAAAATAGCTACAAAATAGCTAACTTAACGTTCTATTCCAAGCAAGCCAAAGACTAGCCAAAATGCGTTTAAAATTTTAACACTTTCTGGTTAAAGCACTCTGAAAATAGCCAAAATTAGCTAGAAAATAGCTCATTTAGCAACACTGTGTTTTTTCTCGCTTCTAATGAAACTGAATTTCTTGTTAATCAGTTAAAATTATTTCTATCCCATATGAAAATGAATTATTATTAATCAATTGTGTATATTTTGCATGCCCGATTAATATCTCTAGAATATTATTCTTCCTAATAAAATTGAACTTGTGTGTAGCAGTGTGTTCTCTTGTGTGTGTGTGTGTGTGTGTGAGTATATTTTTGTGTGAGTGTGTTATTTCGCGTATGATTTGCATGCAATGGACGCTGACCTTGGGTAAAGCTGAGCGCCCAAAGCGGGGCGGAGTCAAGCATGATTTGTGCACTGCCTGGCAGCAGCAACAATAACAACAACAACAACAACAACAATAACAACTCGATTCCCCCTCCCTCAAAGCAATACCCGCCCCCTTCAATCAATCAGACGAACGACTTTATTTGAAGCTGGGCACATGGCCAAGTCTGTTGTAGATGTTGCTGTTGTTGCTGTTGTTGTTGTTGTGGGCGTTGCTGAAATCCAATCTAAATCGTGGCTTTCATTGATATTGATGTATGTATTTTCATTATGTATCTAACGAATTTGCATTGGTCTCTATATCCACACAGACTATCCGCCCGTTGATAGCTATACCGGTTATCGGGTAACTCCACCCCAAAGCAGTCACCAGCACAACAACAACAACAGCAACAACAACAACAACAGCAGTAATAGCAACAACAACAATCACTGCAGCAGCAGCAGCAACAACCACAACAACAACAACAGCAGCCACATCCACAGAATGGACACGGACGATGTCGAATCGAACACAAGCAGCGCCATCACCACATTGGGCACCCTCTTCTCATTCCAATCGCCGGCCGTGAAAAAGTTACTCGGCTGGAAACAGGGCGACGAGGAGGAGAAATGGGCCGAAAAGGCTGTCGACAGTTTGGTGAAGAAACTAAAGAAGCGCAAAGGCGCCATCGAGGAACTGGAACGTGCCCTATCCTGCCCCGGCCAGCCATCCAAGTGTGTGACCATACCACGATCGCTAGATGGACGATTACAGGTAAGCTAAAAGTGAGCATGGAGGTGAAAGAGTCGAAGATAGACCAGCTAGTCGGAAACAATATGGTTCTAAGTAGCAAGTGAATGAGAAGTCCATCAAATTCGTTTATTTAGGTAATAAGAGTGCAAATGGAGGACATTTATACAAATGAGAGCAGGGCAATTATGAATATATGAATACATACTTATAGTTAGAAGTTATAAAAGATCCATTAAAAGTTCTGATTCGACATGAAAAAAGTGACAATTGAGGACAATGTATGCATGTATAGTAGAGTAGACCTTGAAAACTAAGGGTTTAGGTAGGAATAGTTATAATTAGAATATTCCATGAAAAGCTTTGATTCCGCATAGAAAAAGTGACAATGGAGGACAATGTAGCATGTGTTAGAGTATTCATAACTGGGCTCTTATATAGCAATAGTCAAAGTTGGAAATTTTAATGAAAAGCCTTGATTCGACATGAAATAAAAGTGACAATGGAGGACAAAGTCAGTAGGCCTTTGGCTGAAAGCTTTGGAGAGTTAAATTTAACGCGAAAAGCGAACAACTAACAATGGAGGACAATTACAAATTTCGATGATTCGACATAAACAAGTGACAATGGAGAACAAAATCTATACGAGTTACAAATAATAATAAAACAATGGAGGATATTGTCCAAGTATGAGTATGAGTATAAGTAAAACTATAGGAATGAGTATGCGAATGAGAATGAGAATGAGTATGAGTAGGACTATGAGTATGAGTATCTGCTTACACTGTAAATCTCTATATGGAGCGAAGTTCTGTGGACATTTGTTAGATTCTAAACAAGCTTTTGATGTGCAAGAAAGATTTGATAACGTGCATTAAAAATAACAGACCCTGTAGAATAAAATTCGGACATATCCGATAGGTCGTCTATTCGAACTTAGTACTCAAATTGAATGTATATGAGAGATATGATCTTAGGGTAATCCAACATTCATGATTTTAATAAAAAAAGAAAAGAAAAAAGTGTCCATATTCTCAATATCAATACGACTACAAATTTAAGGATTATTATGGAAGACAAAATAGTATAATGGCTCTCTTGAGCGGGTCAGCAGGCGCCGTGTAGTTTTGGTCCGCCCAAGAGGAGCGTACGTCTAATAGAGGCTGAATGTTTAGAGCCTGGTTTATAATGGTTTCAGAGAATATGTCCGCATAAGAGAGGTGAGCGCCTTATAAGTGTGTATGCTAGGAGAGTTTTCACTTTATTGAGAAAGAGACGTTTTAGGGTAAATCGAGTACATTCATTTTGAGAAAGAACTCCACTTTAAAGTTTTTTTTTCGCCTGAAGAAGTTAGGAATATAGAAAAATGACAATTGAGGAAAAATTTCTAAGCAATGGGACAACATGGAGCCTAATTTGAATGTACCTGAAAAAGTTGATTAATATTAAAAGGTTTAACTTAATGATTCTAGAATCTACTTTAAAATTTCTTTAAGCCTAAAAACTACATAATTCCCTTTCCTTTTCACTTCCCCACACAGGTATCTCATCGCAAGGGTCTGCCGCATGTGATTTATTGCCGAGTCTGGCGCTGGCCGGACTTACAGTCGCATCATGAACTCAAACCGCTCGAATTATGCCAATATCCGTTTAGCGCCAAACAGAAGGAGGTCTGCATTAATCCGTATCACTACAAGCGTGTGGAGAGTCCGGTGCTGCCGCCGGTCCTGGTGCCCAGACATTCAGAGTTCGCGCCGGGTCACTCGATGCTGCAGTTCAATCAAATGGCCGAGCCGAGCATGCCGCACAACGTTAGCTACTCGAACAGTGGCTTCAACTCGCACAGTCTTAGCAATAGCAACACATCGGTGGGCAGTCCCAGTTCGGTTAATTCCAATCCAAATTCGCCGTATGACAGCCTGGCGGGCACACCGCCGCCCGCCTACAGCCCGTCGGAGGACGGCAACTCCAATAATCCGAACGATGGCACACAAATGCTCGACGCCCAGATGGGCGATGTGGCGCAGGTTAGCTACTCGGAGCCAGCCTTTTGGGCATCCATTGCCTACTACGAGCTTAATTGCCGCGTCGGCGAGGTGTTCCACTGCAATAACAATTCGGTCATTGTCGATGGCTTCACGAATCCATCAAATAACTCCGATCGCTGCTGCCTCGGCCAGCTGAGCAATGTGAATCGCAACAGTACCATAGAAAATACACGCCGTCATATAGGTAAGTGTGTAAAAACTGTATAAAAAGTTAATTAAAGTCTAGTTTTGATTAGATTAAGCACTTTTAGACCATATTCCAGGCAAAGTTCATGTTAATTATGTTGCTTATGTTGTCTTTTGCTAACTAAATGTTAAGCATGTCTGACATTGTGGCAACGCCGCGTTGATAAGTTTCATACACGAGTTGAAAGGGTGACTCGAGAAGTTATTTTGTTCATTTTCAGCTGTTAACGACAACATTTTGAAGGGTGGCAAGGCTGTATTTCTAACCTCCTGGCAAATATTTAAAAGGAAGTGTGCTGAGGTAGTTAATATAGGAAAATTAAGTATTTTAACAGCATGTTTAAGTAGGTGTTAACTTTGACAGATAATTAAATTGGCAGCTCATGAAATTTAGCTGTACTAAAAGATCGTATGTATATAGATTAAAGATATAATGCAAACAAAGATATTATGAAATACATTTAATTAGATTACAAATTAAATAATCATGGAGAATATTTCGGAATAATTAAAATAATATCTTTAATAATTAAAGAAAAACCTATTATATTTTAGTAGAAATCTTAGAAATATTTTCCAAAGTAAAGGAACAATAATGAGCAAAAGTAACGAAAGACAAATGTTCAATTTTATTCATGCTACAATTTATTCTCTTTTGTATCCTTATTATATTTTATATTTATTAAAATTTTTTCATGAAATGTGTAACGTATAGAAGGAGACATATCCGACCTCATAAAGTATATATATATATATATATATATATACGTATATATATAGTTCAGCATCAATAACCGAGTTGATATCATCGTGTCCATCCGTTAATCCGTTCGTCTGTCTGTCTATTTCTATTTCTATTTCTATGCGAACTAGTCTCTTAGTTTTAAAGCTATCATCTATTATATGTTGCAAGATATTTTCATCAATATTCTGCAAAACTGTGAAGAAAATATCTGCAAGGGTATTAAAATTCTCGACCTGTCGAAAATATCCCCACTTTATCGTTATTTTTAATGCAAGTGTACTATTAATATGCCTCATATTTTTTGGCTTTTGTATTTTTTAGGTAAAGGCGTTCATCTGTACTATGTAACCGGGGAGGTATATGCCGAATGCCTGTCCGATTCCGCGATATTTGTGCAATCGCGCAATTGTAATTATCATCACGGCTTCCATCCGAGCACCGTGTGCAAAATACCGCCCGGTTGTTCATTAAAAATCTTCAACAATCAGGAATTTGCTCAACTGCTATCGCAATCGGTTAACAATGGATTTGAGGCCGTTTACGAGCTAACAAAAATGTGCACAATACGCATGTCCTTCGTGAAGGGCTGGGGTGCTGAATATCATCGCCAGGATGTTACCTCAACGCCCTGCTGGATCGAGATACATTTGCATGGGCCGCTGCAGTGGCTGGACAAGGTGCTCACACAGATGGGATCGCCGCATAATGCAATTAGTTCCGTATCCTAAGCTAAAGACAACTAAATGGGCAACTATATTCAAGCAAGATGGAAGGAAAACCCAACACACACACACACACACACACACACACACACACATAGATGATGATATAGCTAACTAGATGTAAAAGACGTAATGCCGTTAGCTGAGCCCTATGCCTAAATATTTGTGTGCGTGTATATATGCCTTACAAACAGATTTATATATATATATACATTTATATATATGGACCTAGATATATATAGACAGCTACTCAACCCGCCTCTCGCCCACTACACATACTTATCTATTTTATAGTTTAAACATATGATTTTCTACGCGAATGTCATTCCTTATGCAAAAAACGAAAGAAAAGAATAGAAAAAGAAGAAAAAAAAGAGAATACGAAAACGAACTAAAGTTTGATCTATATACAACTATTGTACTATTATTATGATAATGATATATGCCCATTGGCAAATGTTGTTCAAGTCTATTTCAAGTGCTACCTATGTGTCATTGCGAATTGCTTTTAAAGAATAGCAACAGCAACAGCAACAGAATAAACCTAACTATATATATATATATATATATATATACATATATGAATCAAAATACTTATATGTAGGGCAAGTTTTAAACAACTTTTATGCAATACATTTCTTTAAAAAAAAAAAACAAAACAAAAAAAGAGAAAAACACAACACAAAAGTTACGCTTAACTAATTGAATGATCTTGTTTATGTTTAAGTACAATTTGAAAAAAGGTAATGAAAAACGGAAAAACCGAAAAAAGAGAAGAAAAAAAATGGAAAAAAAACACAATTTAATTTTAATCATTTTGCCTAGTTTAGTTAACATTTTCTGTTTTCGTTTAATTATTTTGTGATTCAACATTTTTTTCGCTGGTTTTTTGAAAACAACACACGATGATTTTCTTTGTGCCGAAATCCCCATTCTTTATAAGTAGTTATAATGTCTTAATTTTTGAAATAAAAAACAGTTTTGCCTTCTAACTACCTATAGAACTAATGATATATATATATATTTATATATATATGTATATATATATATGCATGTATATGATATATAAGCTGTACATTAATGGCTTAAATGCGGAACACTAGCCTTATAAGTAAATGTAATAATTGTGCCTAAACACATTTTACTTGCGCTTTCAATGTTTAATGTAAAAAAAAAACAAACAAAAGCTCATTTTCATTTTAGCTAAGAGAAACAAAAAAAAAATAGCTTAAAAGATGAAACAAAAAAAAAATTGCCTTTAAGTTTACAGTTTTTAGCAGCTATAATACACACACAATGCCTTACACATACACAGTTTTGAATTGCCTTTTGCTAGCATTTTGTGCAGCGCTGTTTAATGTAATTGTGTACTAAAAACTATTGTAAAACAATTTTGAAAACTTAACGTAAAATAAAGACAACAAAAAGAAAACTGGTTGCAAACGTTTGACTTTTAACAACATCTGGCAACGCTCTGTGTTGGCGCGCACAGTATTGGTGCGTGCTGTGTTTAGTGCACACTCGATAAGCAGACAACAATAATTAGAATTTATGAAGTATGTGAGAGTACTGTTCAATATAGTGCTAGTGCTCTTTTTTGTGTGCACCCGATAAACAACTTACGGTGATACAAACACGTTTGTTTCGTATTTAAAAATTAGGTTGACCAGAATTGTGCTGTTATCGATAAATGTAGTAAGCTTACCACCTATAAACAGCTGATGTGCCGCAATTAAGTTACATTTTGTTTGTTACGCGATCTGGTCACACTTATCTTGCTGCTACAATTTGTCAACATGCAGGCATCGCCAGTGAACGATCCATTGGAAATATTGACGAATAAAGGCAACCGCCAGCCGACATTTGTGGGTCCCATATGGAATCCCATTGCTGGCGCGATTGCCGGTTTCGGCATTGCACTATTCGTCAACTGGGGCTTCCGTAAGCCCGTTTTCTCTGGTGAGTTCGCAGCGCAGTACTGTGACGTAACATTGGTTTTCCTTGCCATTATTGTGTTTTAAACCAATTTCAAATTGTACTTTTACAGGCATACAGAATCACATTGCGTTTACAGCCATCGGCGGTGGACTTGGTGCCTTCTTTGACAAGCAACGCGATGCATATCTGGCCAAGCGCGATGCTGTGCTCCGGCATTACGTTGAGTTGCATCCGGACGACTTTCCAAAAATAGGTAAATTCTTGTTGGCATTTATACACTGTGCTTTCCAGGCTAATAGAATATTGTTTCTCTTATTTGCATTCCAGATCGTAAGAAATACGGTGAAGTTTTGGAGAGTTGGGTGCCAGTTCGTTAATTGCTCGGTGCTGCCTAAAGGTCTACGGATTAAGCCCTGCCTTAAAACAACACATTTTAGTTAATTAAACTGCTCTAATTGTAATACATATGAATACAAAAGTAAAACAATAGCGTTTGTTTTGCATTTAAAGTAATTTGCGTGCGTTCGGCTGCATGCCGCTAGCAGTGTGACCAAACATTGGAGGCGTAAAATGTTGACGAACTAAGTTATAGGCGCGAAAATTTAAATGTAAACTAAAAAATAAAAATTTAGTAAATGTTGATGAATCAATTTACAAAAGCTATATAACGGTATTTAAATTGTGCATTTATAACTATTTCTTGCAGCTAAGCATATTTGTAAATATATTTAAATGCTCCGAGCTTACCGCTCATGGTATTAAATGTTATTTTTAGTATTTTATGGTGGTCATATTCGGGCGTTCGTTTTTTTCCGAAAAGAGCGCTCTTCTACGCTTTAGATAGTCAGGTCACACTGTCGCTGTTTGGATTCAGTTTCGGGTGAATATTTGTTTCTGTAGGATGTGCGGGCGCAACGTCGAAACGTGAATACACATTTGATTCGTGCTTACCTACATAATTTCGTGCGTTTTTGTATGTGTATGTGTGTTACCGTTATAAATTAGGATAAGCGGAAAAAAGACGAAAGAAACGGCGCAAAATTTGATCATTAACTAAAACAAATTTGTTTCGTGTTTGTTATTAGTTATTATTTTTTTTGTTGGTCTATTAACCTTTGGCAGCAGCAACTTTTACGCTGGCGCCTGTCGAGAACAACAACAACAAAATAAGCGTAGTTGGTGGAAAGGCACTTCAAAGCGAGCGCACGTCAACCGCAGCAGCAAAAAAAAACAACAACAACAACAACAGAAGCTTCTAGCTCTGCCCAAAAGGCCGACGGCTTTTATGCAAAAACCGAAAAAAAAAAAGCATCTCACAGTCGATTTTTGTGAGCTTATCAGCAGCAGCAGCAGCAATACACAAGAACAGTTATGTCTAAGGTAAGCGCTGCGAACTAAAGCTGAGCTTTTAATTTTATTAGAACAATTATTTATTTATTCATGTGCCAGCGGCCAGGCGCTGCATTTGCTCTGCTCTTCAAGCGCACAGCGCTCCATTTGCCGACCCCTTCTAACCCACACAGCTGCTTTGTCAATATGGATTTCATTTGATTGCGTGTGCGTGTGAGTGCGTATGTGCGAGTGTGTGTGTGTGTGTGTGTGTGTGTGTGTGTTTGGGGGAGTTGATTTTCACTTGTGTTTGTATAAATTATGCATATTTGTGGTTTTTCTGCGAGCAGGGCGGGGGCTGATTTGATGGGCAGGGGGGGGGGGGGGGGCTGGATACATTGATTTCTTGAGTTTGGTTTTTGCTAACCCCCAAGAGAAAGGTGCGATTTTTATGGCGTGTAAAATTGGCAACAAATGTTACGACGGGAGGGTATAGAAATTGTCAGTGTGTGAGTGCGGGTGTGTGTGTGTGTGAGAACCCAAATAAATTTTAAGGCTGATTGGCAGGAAAATAACGGCAATTGGTCCTTATGGCATTTGATAGGCACGATTTGTCTTCTTCTTCTCCGTCATCTTCTTCTTCTTCGAGGGTACTTAAACCCCGTTGGGACTTTGATCATCTAACGGTTACTTTTACTTATCTGCGAAGCTTTGGAAAACTTTGCTAGTTTTTCAAAAATGTTCCCAAAAATAATTTAAGTCGATTGGGTTTAAGAACTTACCGTTGAAAAGGGCTAAAAAGGGCTCCAAGGATTCCCAAAAAAAAGGTTGCAAGCAGAAAAAGGTTTCGATTTGTGACATAATCATTTTCTGTGCGTAATTTACTAATAAAAATCTTTCACGAAATATAAACGAACTGTACGCTCAGGAGAGCTTTCACAGTTATAATTAATGATAATTGATCAATTATTATAATAACACATTTATTTTTGTTTATTTCTTTTGCACATTCACTCGCGCTCGCAATTGCTTCTCACCGGAGAGCACTGACCTGGCACTTTGGCTAACGAAAAGCTCTAATCAGTGTTTGGTTTTTAGTGTTGGTAAACGCGACCAAAAATCCTGATGCTTGCTCAAACCGCACGCAAACGCGATTTCCGGCCATAAAACACTGAGAGGAAATTCGAAATCAGCAAATGTCCCAATCAAGCCTGAAATAACTCGAACTTCAAGTGCTCGGAATCGTATTTGTTTTCCACATGCCCCAAAAAACGGGCAGCATTTTTCCCATGTGTCGGCAAATTTGGCTCATGCATTTTTTATGGCGTGGGTGTGCGGGTGTGTGGCAGTGTGTGCGGGTGTGTGCCCACGCAACGTTTGAGTGTCGCGTGCCCGTAATTTCTCTTGTATTCTTTGAGATAAATTACATTTTTTTTCCACGTCACTTGTCGCTGCCATATAAAGTTCTTATCTTAAAGCAAAGTTGCTTTTGATGTGCCACGCCCACCTTCGTTTTTTATTACATATACATATAATATATTTTATATTCTTTGCATTTGTCGCTGTCTTTGGCTTTACAATGCAGCGCATAAAAATTCGGATTTTCACAAAGTAAAAGTGGCACTCACAGCTGGCGGCAAGTGCACACAATCAAATTGTGGCCTAAACCCGGCTATATACGGCCGACAACAGCTTGGCCCATAACAAAGAAAGAGAAAAGTTCTCATATTATTAGTTAAACATACATATGTACATATATATACATATATATTTTATATGCATTCTAGGGCAAGGCGTTTTGTCCTTGAATCGCGAATCGTGCATATACACGAAGAATATATCTATGAACCGAAATGATAGACTAATAGACACCCTATAGGTGCAAAATGAAATAATATTAACATATTTTTTAAAAATCTTAGATTGAGTCTAAATATCGAATAATAGGTATAGATAAAATATTCCGTTTCAGTATAAAATATCTATGAAAATCTTCTTATCACCTTTTTCCTCTTCATTATAAAATTAAACAATAATAACTATATACAGAAGATTCTGTTTCATCATTAAATATACTTTAAAGCCTTCGAAAGACATTTTTCTGTTTCATTATAAAATATAACAATAATTAGTATAGATCAAAGATTATGTTTCATTATAAAATATACTTTAAAATCTTACTATGACAATTTTCCGTCTCATTAAAATAGGTTTTTCATTCCATTAAAATTCTCCTATGACATATTTTTGTTAAATACACAACTGTATCTTTTTTCATAATAAAATGTGTTGATAATAAAGCATAACACTGCATTTTTATCGCAAGCAAAAACATCTGTTTTATATTACAAAAAATGAATAATTGACTTACGTATGTTTATAGAAATTGGATCAGTTCTATGTTGAGATAATTCAATAAATTCTATTATTAATATTTATGTGGAACGGAAATTTTAAAAATTATCTATAACAGATTAATAGATTAGCGATTTCTACCGATAACTTTTATTGCAAAAAGCTTTCGAAAGTGTTTTTATATCGATAAAAAATTATATCGACTTGTTTATCGATACTTTTTTAAACTGATATCAGGAAGCTGCGAATAGCAGTTAATGGGTATTCAATATCTGAAAGCTCCGCAAACTCTCAAGTCTATCAAACTTGTGCAAATCCTTCTTTATTTTGGAGGGAAACAAAACTATGCTCAATGAGGCTGCGCTTTTATTGTGCGCCCTTCCGCGACAAGCCTCATAATCATCAACATCATCAACAGCGGCCTCCTTGTCGGCCCGGCAACCTCGCCCTACCCCTTACCGCGCCCCCCTCTTCATTATGTGCAGCATGTATTATTATACAAGCCCCTGCTACGATTGTCGGCTGTGGCTTTTTGTGTGTCAACAGCAGCTGCAGCCGAAGCAGCTCCTGCTGCCATCAAGTGCAAGGATAATCACAAGGAATAAAACTTGCAGTCGAGTGACATTTTCTAAAATATATTATACCGAGTGTGCAGCGCAGTGGCCATGTTTATTTTTCATTGGCGACAACTTTCTTGGCTCAAGAAAAACACATTCGAGTTTGGGAGCATATAAATTGTCCATAGTTCTGCATGTTTATAAAGTTATCAGCTTAGTTATGTATATATTTCACATGCGGATATAGTTAGTAAAATAATTACGAACAAGTCAATTGTTCGAGATTGTTATCGACTGACTATTTATATAATCGATATAATGTATGTTATCGATACAATGTAATCGATTCTTTAATATAATCGATTTAATGCAATCAATCAGCTGTAATCGATTTTTAAATATAATCGATAATATTTAAAAATCGATGTAATGTAATCGATTATTTACATATAATCGATATAATTTAACCGATTCTTTAATATAATCGATATAATGTAATCTATTCTTTAATGTAATCGATCTACTGTAATCGATTCTTAAATATAATCGATCAATTGTAATCGATTCTTTATTATAATCGATATAATGTAATCTATTCTTTAATGTAATCGATCTACTGTAATCGATTCTTTAATATAATCGATCTATTGTAATCGATTCTTTTATATAATCAATGCAGCTTGGAAATCAGAATGCTCTCGCAATTATAGACGTCATTTTTAAGGGATATCCTTCATGAAACTTAAAGTGACGTGTTCGAGAGATATTTCTTTTAGCACCAGGTAGTATATATCTTGATAATAATTACAAAAAAAAAATGTTGATTAAATCAAAAGTTCAGAATAACCTTTAAAGAGCAGCCGCAGTTAAAGAATTTCACATTTTGCCGTAACACATCGGCCATGGCTGCATAGCATACTCTGAGGGGCAGCATCTGTTGCCACTATGGACTCTTGCCCCTTTGGCCATGTTGATATTTGCCACACCCACCTGGCCCCCCGCCACCTGCCCCGCTTTGGTCCAGCTGCCATCGTTGACCATTTATGATTTATATGGCCGCTGGCATTTCGATTTCGCTGTATTGACTGAACGCAGAATTCGTGTTGCGTGCTTCATAGCCATGGCAACAGCTCTTCGTTTGCCCCGTTGCCCCGCCCACTGGCAATCTCCCTCCCGCAGTTCTCACTGTTAGTGAATGCTTTTTATTTATGAGCATTTCTGGCTCATGCATATTTATCCATAAATGTTACGCTTCAATGGAATTGTCTATAAAAACATATAGTGGGGCTGCGCACAAATATCAATATATATACATAGTTATATATCTTTTATTTGGACTGCACTTGCGTCCATTCCACAAATACACTAGCGATAAATCATATTTATTAATTATTATCTAATTATCTTCCAAATTTTTGTATAATTTTAAAACTTAATTTATGCTTTCATCGAGGAGAAGAATTTTTTTAAATCAATGCTTGTTTTATCATTTTATATGTTATTTTATTTAATAATTTTTTTTCAAAAAATTTATTTTAGATATTATTTTACAATTTTTTTTTGACAGTTTATTAAAAACAATGTTAATAATTTTTTTTGGTATGTAAATCCATTTTTTTAAAATTTATTTTCCAATATTTAAGAATTCAAAATTATACAAAAAATATTTTTGTATAATTTTAACACTAATTTTTAATTTTTGAACATTAATTTTTACTTTGTTTAAAATTACGTATATAAATAAATGAATTAATTAGATAAATTAATGTATATAAGTTGGTATTTATTTCATTTCTTTTATTTATTTATTTTTAACAAGTTTTTTATGCCTAACATTTAATCTCTCCGAAGTTAAATGAAAAAATACCTATGACAATTGTTTTTATTATATAAAATAGTGTTAAAAGAAATTTGAACTTTCGCAAGCTTTACGAGTTTTCAACCTAAAAATTCTAGTTTTACATTTCTGACTGGTCCACAAATCAGTTTCGAAACTCGAATTTAGAACAGTTTTTGCTAAAAGTCTTCAATTAGTTCTTTGGGCGTTGCGTTCTTCGCATTTTGCGTGGCTGCAAAAATGTTCTAATTTGAAATTCCTAAGTTAAAGACGTGGCAGGCTAACAAAATACGTGACTGCAA